TGGATTTCTAATCATCCTTCACTCTCTCTTTTCCTCTCACTCAGTTCCTTCCATCCGTCTCCTACTGTATATTCACTTCACACAAACACTAATATTACTTGAGAATTCAAAATTTAATTTTCAGTAAATGTGACAGTTTTTTATTTTAAATTAATACTATTTCCAGCTGTGATGAAGAAGGAAGTATACTGTAATGCAGTAAGGAAGGAGGGCTGTCTATGGGAAAAATGAAGGTAGAAAATATAAAAAAACAAAACAGCTGCACCTTATCACATCTTTTTCGAAGGCAGGCTAGCTATGCATACACACTAGAGGAAGATGGTGAAGGGACAGCAGGGAGGGCTACAAGCCTGGATGGAGGAAACATTCTAAGAAATCTTATGAAGGAGTAGATTTGGTTGCTCGTTCTTAATCCTGTCATTAAACCCAGAATTTTAGTAGCATCTTAGAAAATAAATATAAGCCTGATTTTAAATTCTGGCATAATATTAATTGTGTATTATATGACTTATATTTAATCTCAATCCTTCTGGAGCTATTAAACTATTTAGGGGAGAGAAGATACTGTGACTAGAAATTTGACTCCCATATAGAATCCATTCCTTTCGTTTGACTCCGACAGAAACATGGCTTTCGGGAGTACATATAAAATGAGTAGCTATTTCTTAGATGTTGAGTCTAATTATCAAAATCTTTTTTAAAAAAATGCCAGAAAGAGTTCCCCTAGATATGATGGAGTCCAAACCAGTGTAAGTGGCCATCTGTCACTGTTCCAAAAGGTCGCATTCAAGTCCAGATGGAGGGAGTGCTCATCTTTGAGAGTTCTTTACTATCTAAAGGCCACTGGTCCTTCCCAGAAAAGTCAACCATAAATTTGGAAAAACAAGTTCACCTTTTCTGAACTTGAATGATAAACCTTTAGAAACACAGAAAGGAAGCATAAACATTAACATAAGCATAACTCAGGGCTGGAAGAAGAGGGCAGGTGGCTGCAGTGGGCGATTGGCATTTTAGATCATGATTATTGATTTTGGAGTTTTGATAGTAAAACCAGCTATTTGGGAAGAAGACACTATGAGTGCTATATACTTGACTATTGGAGGAACAGTCTGGTTGGCTTCTAAACTCCTAAGTGAGTCTGCACCCAAGACTAAATATCTCCCAGGTTGTCTTGTTAGTCAAACAAAGCCAGCTGTTGTTAAGTTGGGTTTATGGCTGTTTTTGGAAAAGTGTCTTCAATCTTCCTTTCATACTACAAAGACACCCTTTACAAAATTATTTCTCTGTGGCACAAAGTGCTCTGTCAAAAGATGAGTAATGTATTTTCTTGCAGTGTGTCATGTTTCACCCCACTTGATGTCATTTCAGGTGTCTGGAGCTGAAAGATACCCACCTTTTAATTATAGATAATAAGTATTTCATCTTTCCAACAATTACACATGTGTATTTATGTGCTACTGGGCCACAGCTTAAGTTCCATGAGATTCCTAACAGGCCAAGGGAGACTTAGACGGCCATTTACAGTTTGACCATCTCAAAATTTAACTAATGTCTTAGTGTACCAACAGGACTGCGACTAATGACAGTTCCTAATGGACAACAAATTAAATTCCCATTAACTTATAGATAATATGTTTACTAGCATTTGTATTCACTTTCTAAATAAGAACATTGATATGAACTGAAGGACTAGTTAAATGTTTTCCTTTAGTTCTCAGATTCTACAGAAAACTATGCTTTTTATACTGTGTCACCTAATAATGTGCTGTTTAATTTTCATGTATACACATACATATATGTGCATATGCATATATATGTATACATTATATAGCATTGTCAATGCAAACTGCTCTTGGTAAAGGCCTTAGCTATTTTTTACCATCAGTTTACCTAATAAAATGGAGACTGTGTCCTCTTTCTGAATTTTCTGCTTTTTAGACTTCCAAGTCTGGCAGTAAAATCACAGATGTTAGATGAAAGTGCCTCATTAGCTCCCATGCATTACACAGATATACATGACTTATGTTGATAGAGGTATCTGGGTGTCTAAAGGTCATCATTGTAACTAATGGCTGAAGTCTCTGAGCAGACTGGTAATTCCTGTCCTGTGTTCTCCTCAGCAGCTTCTGATTAAGAACGGTGTGATGTATTTGTTATGCTCTTGCATTTGGTACTTATTACAGCCAGATTGTACTTGACTGCTAATCAATACTGTTTTTTGTTTTTGATTTTTTCTGGAAAAAGAAAATTGAGGATCAAGTTCCAGGTATAACCTGTTGAACTTGTTAGGAAAGTCAAAATTCTCCATATGTTGGAGAAATATAAAAGGTGAGGAACACATATAATTTAGACAGTAGTTGAATCAAATCATATTATAGTTTTTTTTTTTCTCTTTCTGGTCATCTTTATTTCAGAAAAAAAAAAAAAAACAACAACAGAATTTTCTCAGTTTCGTTGCCTCGTGGGGCTTATTTCCCTCCCTTAAAAATAAAGCCTCCTCAAAAGTGGCTGCATTGTCATCTTCTGTGGCCTGGTAAGGCTGCTCCCCCATCAGGGGGAGCTGATCAAAGAGCAGCCCAATCAGATTATGTCAGAGGCAGTCCTTCTTCCCATTACTATGTAACCCACTTGGACACTGAACTGCCATGGGCTACATCTGTGCAGGGGTTCTAGGTTATTTCTACAAATAGTCCTTGTTTGGAGTATGAGTCTCTGGGAAGTTCCCTGTGTTCAAGTTTTCTGGTTCTGTTGCTCTCCTTGTGTGGTTCCCGTCCTCTCCAGCTCTTACTATTTCCCACTTTTTACATAAGATTCCATGCACTCTGCCCAACAGTTGGCATCAGGCTCAGCATCTGCTTTGATAGTCTGCAGGGCAGAGGCTTTCAGAGGCCCTCTGTGGCAGGTTCCTAGTTTGCTTCCTGTTTTCTTCTTCTGGCTTTCAGAGGCCCTCTGTAGCAGGTTCCTAGGTTGTTTCCAGTTTTCTTCTTCTGATGTCCATCCCTTTGCCTTTCAGGATGGGGATTGAGAGTTTTAGTTAGGGTCTTCTCTCTTGCTTAGTTTCTTTAGATGCACAGATTTTAGTGGGTTTGTCCTATGTTGTATGTCTATATGACCAGGCCACAGAAGATGACAATGCAGCCACTTTTGATGAGAACTGATAGACTAAGATCAGAAAGAAGGAGAGGAGAACCTCCCCTATCAGTGGACTTGGGGAGGGGCATGCATGCAGAAAGGGGAGGGAGGGTGGGATTGGGAAGGGAGGAGAGAGGAGATTATGGGGGGATACAAAATGAATAAAAAATGTTTATATTCATAAAAAAGAACACTCAAAAAAAGTAAAATATTATCACTATAAAAAAAATAAAGCCTTCTTATGTAATTCAGGATGGCCTCAAATTCAGTGTCTTTCTGTTCCTGCCTCCTGAGTCTGGGGTTACCGACACACACCACCACACAAGGCTTTATATGTTTGTAATAAAGCATGAAGTTCTTATAAACATAAGCCCCATGTTGAAGACAGAAACTAGTTTACCAATAAAAGCCATTAAGTAAATTTATATACTGCTCTAGGAAGTTTTTGTCTGGCCTGGCTGGTGAAATAACTGTGGAGTAAGTGCCCTCAGTATCATGGCCTTTGCATTAAAAGTTTTGTTTTGGGGGTGTTTTTAATATCATTGGATGTGTAAAAAATTGTTCTGAATCTGTAGGATTTAAAATCAGTCTTTAAAGTCAGTGATTTATTAAGAACAGTGACTTGATGACAGCTAACAACGTTTTTTCCCTCTCGTCAGGAGACCCATGATGGGAAAATTAAAGCATCTTAACTCCAATTAATGGAAACAGCTACAGCTGTAGCTGCTGGAGTTTGCTGAGGCTGCCAGGAAATTCTAACACTGAGACTGAGGTTGGGCTGAGAGATGACTGTGCCTTTCAAGTATAATCCTGAAATATAAAACCATGGGATTCCGAATGTGAGTGGATACTTTTGTCAATATTTACTTGGGCACTTTTATGTCTTGTATCATAAAAGAGATTAAATAGGGGAATATTCCCATTGCCTAGCTGGATCCCTGTGCTACACATTAAGATTCCAACTTAAGGATATCCTCTTGAGGTTTATTATTCCACATATTCATGATACCAGGCTGCATATTTGGTCTGTCATGCACCTGAATAAATTTGGTGAATTTATTAATGAGTATTTATGCCACAGGCATTTCAGAATGGATGGAGGCCTTACCTGAGGGATGTCCTTTCCAGCAATCCATTTTTTTTGTTTTAATTTTTTTTGCAATTTATTTATTTAACAGTCACTGAACATCTACTCAGTGACAACTGTTTCAGTTCAAAGACTAGCAGAAGTTGCACAGTAACAAGTGACATGTGTGTCTGTGTGCGCGTGCGTGCATGCGTATGTGTGTGTATGTGTGTGTGTGTGTGTGTGTGTGTGAGATGGTGGAAAGATCTTTGAAGAAGATGCCTTTCATTTTTCTCTAAAAAAGAGCATTGATATGTTTGATAGGTTGAATTAATGTCTGTAACTTAAAAAGACAAGTTTCTAAAAGAGAGTTGGATTTCACTTTTAAACCAGAGGAGCTAAGGAGACAAGTGAATTGCTCTGCCCATGCACAGAAAACCTATATAGTTTGCACGAAGGACAGCAACAGTGCCCGAACCAGAAGAAGACCAAAATTGGCTGTGCTCCCTTAAACTTCCTGTTAGGCTCTCAGCTAGCACTTCCCACTGCTCTGTGCACACTTACATTACAGCATATTTATTGAATACCAGGCACTGTTCTAATGTGTCTGGGACATAATGCTAAAGAAAGAAAAGTCAACCAACATTTTACCTCATTACCTATGCAAGAACTTTTTAATGAACAGCCATTTGTGCCTAAACTATGTTTAGCACCTAGAAGTAGTAATAGAAACTTGATCTGTGCTGTCTGCAAATAAGGTAAAATTAGAAAGCAGCCACTGCTTGGACACCATGTATCTTACCTTGTAATGAATTGAAGATAGAGAAGAGGTACATGAAAGGGATATTTAAGGGTCCCCAGGCAAAAAAAGCAAAACCCCATGTCATGCCCAGCAGGAAGGTTAGGCTGACCACACTTCGAAGGTTCCTTAAAACCTCTTCTCTCAGGGTGCGGTTGCTTCTCTTTCCATTCCTCCCACAGATCTGTACCATGACCACAACGAACATGGCAACATTCAGGAAGAACATGATTCCAAAGTACCCAGCACAGCTCACATAAAATACCACAGGATCCTGAATCCAGCAGCTAAAAGGAAAAGAAACAAGATTAAGATAAAAGAGTGGTTACCAAGCCTTGTTTACTCATAACTTTCCTTCGTCTGGTTTGCACAGCTTGCAGAGTTCTTTCTGAAACACCTATGAAAAGTCAACTCACTTCTGTGGGCCTTAGTTTCTTCTTTGATCCTTTCATAGGTGGTTTTTTTCATTTGGTTAGTTTTGGACGCCTGCTTTCTTAATCTCATTTCTTAAATCAACATTTAAAACCAAAGGAGGTTGCTTGTTGAATTCTAATTGGTATGGGAGCATGCTTGTTTGGCTGGCTTTAAACCATATCTGACCCTTTTTCTCTTGTATGTCTTTACTCTAACAATGGAGATTTTCAGCAATCAATTTTGCTGTCCTTTCCTGTCAAAGGGTGGCTATGCTGACTCCATTCCAAAAAACAACATGGATATGGCAGTCTGCTAAGAGATTTTATGAGAGCTATGATATTCCAGCTGTCAGCTTCCGTACATGTGAAAGAGGCTAGGAGAGCTGCTGAGATGTTGGCTCTCATGGGCTATAGACACAGTATCAATGCTAGTGGTCACCTATGTCCCTAGTTCCCTGTTTTCTATGATTAGCTAAATTACACTTCTTTGTTATATTGAATTAAGGATTGAGGATCTGAAGCAATTATTATTTATATAACTATTCTAGTTGAACCAAGATATTATAATATTAAAGGATTCATGTATAGTTGTTTCTTGCACACAATTATAAGGCACTTGATTCTCAGATATATATCAGACAATAGATGAGAGAAAAATTCAAACTATTTTGTATTACAAACTCTAACATGAGTAAAGTTGAAAAGCAATGCAATTTGCAGATGTTCTAGAGCTTTTTTAAGCTACCTAAAGTACCTAAAAAATCTAATAACTTCAGGAAATTAAATTCATCTTAAAGTTAATTGTCCTCATTGTGGCTACTGAGGTAAATGCTTTTGTGAACATCCTGCGATCCTAGAACTCAACATGATTTCTAGCATACAATGAGTGCTCACTAAATGAGATTTCCTGACGGCACAACTTAAATACTACAATGAGGGATTGTATATTCCTTCACTTAAAACTAATTTAGCTTAAAATTTAGTGTACTTTGTAAGGGTCCCCTGAATAACATTGCACGTCCATGGCAGTGGAATTTCTTTAAACATGGAAGTCTCCCAAAGATGCTAGAATTCTTGATACAGGTCCAACTTGTTAAGGTTTTGTAGCACTGTTTCAGAAACACAAAGAAAGGGAGGCCATGAAGGATGAGAACTGACTAAATATAGAAGTGCTGTCTATCCCTGAAGTTTACACAGACATGAGGTGTCATGGGCCTCACACAACAAAAAAATGTTCATGAAGCAATCAGTAATTCCTGAAATCAATGGATGTTGGTGATCCACAGTACAGTTGATGAGAAATATGAGAGCAATTTGCTTAAGCAATAATGACCTTAATCTCAATGACCTCAACTTGTGAAGTAAGGTTTTGCTCAAGGACTCATGGATCTCATTGTTTTCTGTAAAACACTCATACTGGGTCATTTTTGCTATTGCCAATATGTATGGGTTGAAGGAAGCAAGAGTAGCACAGAATCTCCTCAAAGTGAATGAGTCTTCTGAGTCTAGAAAAAAATTATCTCAGGTGTCCACTTCTCTAGACCATAAAGTACAATGCTATTAAAATAAAGAAAGGCGGGTCTAAGCATTGAAATTATTAATCTGTGGTTGACAGACCTCTGACAGAGTCTCAGAGGTGAAGTAAAGACTTCAACATCAGAGAGTTATTATCACCATGGTAACTTACAGTAAGCCACAGGAAAGTACACATCCCACCACAATGTCCCCAAACGTGTTCTACTCACAATTCATCATCCTGCTCCTTCCCATAACTTTCTTTTCCATATACCTCATTTTGTTTTCTGCTCACCAGAATAACTGACACCACCAAGGCTGGCAGACCTGTTTTAAAACAAAACAAAACAAAACAAAACAAAACAAAAACAAAACCCATGCCATTGAGAACTCTCCTGAAGATTCTGGCACTGCCTTGTGGGACTGATACTGTCAAGTAAGTTGACTGGTTAAAACCTGTTGGTTTTAACTTCCCTCCTCAGTCTGTAACATATGACTCTAAGTGGTAATAGTTTAAGCCTACTCTCTAGTGGTAAGATGCTTAAATCTGCTGCTGGGTCTAGTGATACTCACTGGAGATGTGAGTAGACCGTGTAGACTGTGATTCTACTGAAGTCAGTACCAGACAATGTGTAGTTGTGTTAATGATGCTACATTGGGTCACCAAAGTTTGAAAAGATAAGGTGACTGCATCTCTTATGAAATAAAAACTTCAGAAAAAGTGTTGGTAAGCAGCTAGTGTATGATGCATTTCCTTTTTCTCCAGAGAACCCATGGTACTCCTGTGTCTACGTCATTGAGCCAATTCATGCCTCCTCAATGTTCCGAGTGATCCTTTGATTTTCTCACAGGGGAATGCTGTGAACTAAGGAATGGCTCAGCCTTGAATACTGTCATCTGAAAAAGATGGTGATTGAGCTTTCAGATGCCTCATTTGACAAACAATCCAGATAAAGAAAGCGCTCATTGAAAAGATTCTATAAGGGCTAAAATGGCTTTGGACAACTGACCGAGGTTTCATGGTAAAAAGCTCAAGGCAACAATTCTGTAAATATCTTGTTTCCACACATTAAAAATAACACTCTTTTTCTGGCTCCCACACAGGGATGATTAGAGCTAGGAGTTTAGCTGTCTACTATATTTGGAAGCATAATGGGCTGTCAGCTGCTTCTTTAGCAATGGTGGGCTGGCACTGGGCTCAGGAAATGAGTTTGTGGTGACTCAGGACTAAGGCTTTCCTTTCCTTCTGAATTTAGTGAGGACTGGTAAGAGCTCCAAAAGCATACATTGCAAAAGCATACAGATGTCCCTTCTCAGGATTTTATTATCTGATGCATGTTTTTCTATGTGTCTTTTGGGGTGATACATGAGGAAGGGTGTTCAGGGAGGCTTACCCCAGCCAATGATGCAGAATTTTAGAATGTAGCGGTGGATGTAGGTGTTAAACACTTTCACAAGAGCTATGTACATGTGGATGGCTTCCAGTCCCATCCAGGTGAAGGTAGCCAGGAGGAAGAAGTGCAGCAGTGCAGCCACAGCCGTGCAGAGTCCAGCCACACCGAAGGAAGTGATCCAGCCATCCAGGAGAAAGATGAGATTCAGGAAGAGCAGGGCTGAACTCAGGTTCATCAGAATTTTGGAGGGATAATCCCTGCGCAGCTTCCTACAGATGGAGAAGAGAAAAGTATGCAAGAGGTGACACTGCACACCGATATTTTAAACACAGGAGTCAATTTCTGTTCTCTACCATTCTGCAGCATGTAACTGCATATACAAAATACCCCCCACCACCACATTGAGGCGTGAACATGTTTATGAGTTTTTGCCAGGCTACAAAGAGTTTTTCAAATTGTTTCCAGCTGTTTCCAAAATTCTCAACTTGTTTACACAGGATTTACATTTATTTATTTACTTGTCTATTCTTGAATTAGTTTTTTGTTTTGTTTTGTTTTTTTTTTTTTTTCTACTGCAGCTCAGGATGCCTTGTAATTCATTATATAGCCCAGGCTGTTCTCTAACTCATGGAAATGCTCCTGCTTGGGCCATTTGAGTGCTGGGATTAGAGACATGAGCTACCATGCTCACATTTTTCTTTAATTTAAGAATTTCCTGAGATTTCCAAGAACTATAAAGTTAATCAATTTGTTCAGGTGTGCATGTCCATACGTCTATGCATCTGCATGTAGATACCTGGAAAAGCCGTATTTCATTAAGGCCCCTGGAACTGGGATTATAGATGGTGGCAAGCTGCCCCGTGTGAATGAAAGAATCCAAACTCAGGTCTTTCTCCAAGAGTAGCCACTGCTTGTAGCTGTGGAGCCATTCCTTTAGCTCTGACATTTTTATTTAAAAGGTAATTTCCCTAGAATTGTTTGATATTTCTTGATTTTTTTTTTTTAATGAGTCAGGAGTCCCTTTAAAAAATTTCCTGTTTCAAGAAATCTTGCATGCAATTTAAGAAGCAAATTATATTCGCCATTACAATGTGGAAAGTATTTCATGTCATTTTAATTTACATTACTGTTCATACTCTTTAGCAGCCTTAAATCTATTTTATCAATAGAAACATAGTAATTATAAACTAAGATTCTATACCTGGAAAATTCATGTTGTATGATCTTACAAGAAACATGATGATTAAAAGTGAGACACCAACATGCAGTTCATAAACTGCAGAGCTGTTTTCAAAGCTGAGGCAATTTCATGCTCATATTTGCAATTGTTAGCACTGGGCTTGGCAGATAGATATATACTTACTCAAAAGCAATGTATGTCAGGAGAGTTGCTGCTGAGAAAATAGCAGATATCCCACACCCAATATAGGTGATGAAAGTGAGGACTTTTGTGTTTCTTCCATCTATTTGTGATGCACTCCTTGGAAGATCCTAACAAAACATGGGAAGCTGCTGTAAGTATTATTCTTCTTTCATGACAGTGATGCTTTAAGTTGCCGTAAAGTTCACTGTTGACATTAGAGAAGTTCAGTCTCAGAGGCTAAAAACAATGCCTATCAACACTGGCGTAGCCACTTACTGCATTCTTGTGGACCAATAAGAGAAAGAAATAAAATGAAGCATTACTGCAGAAGTCGGTACACACTGTCTTAAATCAGTACCTTCTTTGTAAGCTCTTGGTACCCTCGTGTAAGCCAAAGAGTGAAAATACTGGAATCCCTAAAAGAAACAGTGTAAGACACGGTTGCCTTGTATGGCAAGTTAATAGCGAAATCTGTTTTTGCAAAGATAGGGGCATGTATAAATGGAAGTCACTATGCAAACATAGCCAATCCTTTGGCCCCTAGATTGTTCATTAGGTGAGAGATGCTTAGCCAGGAACAGCCAGAGGTTGCTATAGGTGGTGTTAAAGTTTTCTATGTTCATTTCAAAGCCTGGCAACTAGGAGGTTGGGTTGATCTTTATTTTATTTTTTCATAAAAGTGAAACCACCAAGTGTGTTGGGGTCTATCATATTTACTCTTTAAAGATTTAATTGGCTTAATTTAAAGTATTAGGAGTTGTGAAGAGTGGAAAGAAGCCAACATGGAAAACAAGCAACATTAATTCTTCATGTTTAGGTGAACTTGAAAACTCTGGACCTCATAGGAAAACTTTTCTTTTCCTCCTTAAATGGAGTATTAGGTAGGGATAAAACCTAAGATAAGACCACTAATTCGTCCTGGTGGAAGATAAAATTCACTTCCAACATACACGTGTTTAAAAATTAAAGAAGAGATTTGTTGAACATACAGTTTAAACATTTCAATCTTATGGCAAAGGTAAACTGTTTTTTCTATATGTCAATTTCCTTTAATTTTTATCAAATGTCAAGAAAACGCTACTCTCCCACAAGCCCCCCGTAGAGTCAATATTTCTTTATGTGTGCATGTATGTGAAATAAGGAAGAAGCAGGAGTCAGTTCTAGATACAACTAAGGCAGTAAAAGCATGTGCAGTAGTTTTGAAACACTGAAAAATGCACACTGGCTGACATCAGTAGAAGTGGGGTCTCAGAAGCAGAAAACGCTTTCCTTGTCCTCAACACCCGAGGAGTCCCTCAGTCCCTCAAAACACCGGGAAGTCATGGGCCCATGGCACATGGGATGGATTTGAGTCAGTGTCAGCAGACTCAAAGGGGGTGCTGGACTGGTACAGTTCCTACAGGATCAGCTAGAGTAGAGAAAGGAAGAGCTTTGCAGGATCACCGAGGGTGATGAATTCCTCAGAGCACTGCTTCCATCTAGGTAAGACAAAAGACTGCTAATTTAATAAATAATTTAAGAAAAAATGAAGTGATTCTACACACTGATAACAATTCACACACAATTCTCCTATTATGTTGTACTTTCTAAGAATGATCACATGACAATTTTATCTTTGTAAGCCAGCCAACATGAAGATATATGAATATAAAACAATAAGAAAGTCAGTTCTATAACAAACGTAGGGAAGGACATTAGACATTTTTCACCTTTATAGATTAAAAGATATAATATGGGTCTATGCATCATGGGAAAACATAGACTCTGAGACTATCTCATACAAGTGAACAAAGAGTTGTAAATCTAGAAGAAAAAAACTATGACTCAAGCATTGGTGGTCTGAAAGCACCAAAAGAATGCCAACACAATGCCAGAAGGAATGAATTTTGGAAAGTGTTTCCCCTAGCAGTTGATAATCTTACAATAAAGGCCAAAAAAGAAAGGGGAAGAATTCACTCACATGTAAATGTAACTTTTTACTCGGAAAGCAACAGAAAACACAATGTGCAATTTATAAACCCATAATAAAACTGAAGTTGCATATAGTAAAACTAGCTATCTGAGTAATGTGCAGATCAAATCAAGCTGCATATAAAGCAGTTCTTAGAGGTCAATTTTGTTACTGGCATCTATTTATCTATTAGAAATAAAACTCAGAGTGCGGGAAATCTTATGAAAGAAGTGGGAAACAGTAAGCTCTGGAGAGGACAGAAACTCCACAAGGAGAGCAACAGAACCAAATATCTGAGCTCAGGGGTCTTTCCTGAGACTCATACTCCAACCAAGGACTATGCTTGGAGATAACCTAAGACCCCTGCACAGATGTAGCCCATGGCAGTTCAGTATCCAAGTGGGTTCCATTGTAATAGGAACAGGGACTGTCTCTGACATGAACTGATTGGCCTGCTCTTTAATTACCTCCCCTTGAGGGGGAAGCAGCATTACCAGGCCACAGAGGAAGACAATGCAGGCACTCCTGATGAGACCTAATTGACTAAGATCAGAAGGAAGGAAAAGAAGACCTCCCCTATCAGTGGACTTGGGGAGGGGCATTCATGCAGAGGGGAGAGGATGGGAGGGATTGGGACGTGAGGAGGGAGGGAACCACAGGGGGGATACAAAGTGAATAAAGTGTAATTATAAAATAAATAAATAAAAGAAATAAAACACAATCATTTGCAAACATATATGTGCACATTGTTGAAATTAATTATGTAAAAGAAAGATTTCTAAAGAATATCTTTAGTCACTTAAAAAAAGAGATGGAAGAAATTTTAATTTCTGTTTCAACTGGAAAACACAGTATATTTTAGTAATTCAATTTTCATGTCTTGAAACAGCATATTTTGAGAGTATTAAAACGTTGCTTTCTGTGATTCATCAACCTTGTCAATGACTTATTCTTTCCCAGAGAATTTGTATCCCTACATGTTAGTAAATCTATGACTTGTGAGAGTTGCCATATGACAATGGCCATTTACATGGGCCAAGTAGTTCATCATTCAAATACTAAAGTCCACAGTTGCTCATTACTTCCTCCCAGACTCCACAGGAAGAAGGCCCAAACATTTCAGGGAGATGACTGCAACCTCATGTCTGTGGTTTCAACTGGAAAAACTGTATCACTTCAATTCCCATTACTCCCATTGTCTATGAAAAAACAAGTCTGGTTGATCCCTTCATAGAAACTTTCTCAAAACAATGGCTACAGTGCATTCTAGATGTTCTGCATACTGGATAGGTGCTTGTACAACACACATATCAGATAATGCTACTCACTCATGGATCAGTTCCAACAGGCCATTGGGAGGAAGATGGGTCTTGAAAATTGAGTAGGACAATCAAAACACTGACGTGATATAAATTTTTATGCAAACTCTTGAGTATGCTGGCTAGGTATATTTTTTAAATAAATGATGAGAGAAAGAAAGAATAGAAAGAATGTTATGAAATCCCTAAAATGAGAGAAATCTCATACATCTTATCATCTTTCTTGTAGGACTGAAGTCACTGACTCAAACTGTCCTAGCAGATTATACTCTTGAGAAGAGAAATCATTTGGCACAGGCACAATATCAACTTGCTGGCAAGCAAGTTAAACAAAAACATAAGGAAGAAAAATCTTGATTAGACTATGGTTCTCTTCCATGGTAGCAACAACCCAACACTTTCTTCTTCTATTGCTCTTTCCTTCATCTCTGTTTCACCAACTCCTTCTTTCTTAACCAAAGAGGTTCATGAGGATAAGGAGGAGGGGGGGATGTTCTGGAATTGTTTCTTATTAAAGCTACAAAAAATAAGTGTTCTTTTGTATAAATCTGTCATTTGGTGCAAATACATGAGATTTGCTAATTTAATGCCTTGTTACAAATCAAGATCCGTTGTACAGACAGGCATGATTAGGAAAAAATTTCCATGATCTATAATAAAAAAAGTTGGGGTCACACAAAAGAATTGTGCCTTCTAAGACTACCACAAATCAAAATGAGGCAAATCCCTCCTCTTACCATCAGGACTCCAAAGTGAGTGAGGTGGTTACACAGGCAGATGGTCTCCCCAGCCTCCGAGTTGGAGCGCACAGAACATCCGGAGGTGCTCCACCCTCCAAGACTTTCTGCAGGAAGAAACAATGAGCAGAAAACAGCAGTGGCTCAGTTATCTGTAATGTGGGCATCCTTCTTGTAGTGACCAAGAAGTAGAATGATTTAGATTCCTTGAAAGTCATCTCAAAATTATTCAGGCACTGTGCTTCACTGAAGTGACTCAGGGCTTGTCTAGATGCTCACATTAAAATTTTAACAAATTTTGAAATAAACTTCTATAAAAACAAAATTTCTTTTAAACATTATGTGCTGATAAGCTCTCTGAAGACCAACAGTCTAGGATCAGACTAACTCTTCTGAAAACAGATGAAGAGATGGATGAAGAGATGAGGGGAGGCTTAGACAATTTTGCGATGTACCCAGTGGTCATTGTTATGAAAACAAGGGCAAATGGGTCTGAACATCTCTGACTTCTTTTGGCATTATATTTGCCCATTTATTTAAATATGTTATGACACAGGATGATATTTTTAAGCGGGTATACAAGTCAATCAGGATCTCAAAAGGCAGGCAGGTAAAACATAAACAACTAAACTATCTGCCTGTAAGTGACAAAGAGATTTCTGGCAACATGGAACTGTATTTTTCACAGACAACACAGCCAGTATGGTACCAGAATAAATTTAGAAGCAATGTGGTATTGAGGGGTTCATAGGGAAGATGACCCTTAGGAGATAAACACAAGAGGTATCCTTTCAAGCATCCCTTTATTCATCTCTACACTCTCAGCCTAGTGATTCATTGATTATTTGCATGCTCCTTCCTGTCTTGACTGCTCAATATCACTTTAGAGGTGATATTAAAGATATTAAATATTAGAGGTGATATTAAAATATTTTTTTCAAGGAATATATGCTCTTTATATATAACTTCAGTAGGCCCTTTCACCCACCTCATAAAATAACTGAAATTAAAATGTTTAATTCAGTCTGTGAGCCAAATATGCTTGTTTCTTGATGTGACAAAAGTTATTTTAAAAATGGGAACTGATTCCCAAACTATCTAAACTATAGTTTGAAGCTCACTTGTCCTAAATTGTGGTTTGGGGTGAAATGGGCAGGAATGGGAATGCTTGACAACACTTGAAAGCCCCCAGTATTTTACAACTTACTGTTTTTGTTCAGATCCCAGAAGGCACAGATAGGACGATGTACTTCCTATATTAATATAAAAATAAATATGCAAAATTGTAGTTTAAATTGTTTAAAAGTCACAACTAAAAAGAAACTGTACTAAAAGTCACAACTAAATAGAAACCATTCCAGTACCACATGACAAGGTCACCAGCCTGGATGGGTCTTCTCTCCTAGAGACTTCTAATGAAAATCAGTTGGAATCCCCAGGAAGAACTACATTCACTTTTCTTCAGGACACTCTATGTTCCATTGTTAAATACTGACTCTATTATCATTCTTCATATCTGGCAAGGCTTTTTATAATTTAATGTTCATATCATCTTCAAAATTCTCCTGCATGTCTGAACATCTACAAAAGCAAACTAAAAGCAGACCCTCAAGAGACAGTTGTATGCCCTCAGCCAGATTGTGTTAAGTCAGAAAATAGACAAAAAATAGAAGCATCCCAAATGAGCATCAATGGATAAAATCTGTTATGTTCCCACAATGGAATATCAGACAGTCTTTTGAGGAAAGCACTTCAGGCATGTGCTACAACACAGATGGATCCTGGATGCTTTATGCTAAGTGAAACAAGTCACTTTGGAAGGACAACTACTGTAGGATTTTTTGAAGGGATTGATAGAATCAAATTAGTACTACAGAGATTGCTAGAAATTTCTGGAAGTTAAGAACAGGGAAATGGTGTTTAATAGTGGCAGAGTTTCATTTGAGGTAGATCTTTTAAAAAATCTAGTGGAGATAGATGGTATACACTGTTGACAAATTAATGCAACTGAACTTACTAAAAATGGTAAGTTCTACTAAGTATGTTTCACCACAGGAAACAAACCAAAGTCTTTCTGTATGGATGCTGAAGCAAATAAGGCCAAAGGTAAAAAATGAGGTCTCCCACAAGGGAGTCAATGTTTCAACTCCAAGCTTCAGCCATTATCAGCCTGCTCACTTCCTGTCTGGCTGTGGTGAGATCATGACCTGGAAGCTGTACAAAGGTGAGTCAACTAGTTAGTGAGCTGCAGGAGACAGCACATGTGCTTGCAGCACATAGATGGATGGGAGAGAGGGTCCTGAGGAAAGAATGCTAACACTTGGCAACATCTTAAACAGTGGCACATCTCCCAGAGAATGAGGCCACTCTCTCCCGCCGTCCCTTGAGCTATCTCCGTTGCAATTATCTTGGACTTTAAAAATCGCAAAGAGACGATCACAACTCCTGACCAACTACTGTGCCTGTGTATTTGGAGTTGGTCAAATCCTTTACTAAGAACAGGAGCCTTCTTTGTTTTGTATTCCATTGTGTAAATGCACCACAATTTCTGTATCCATTCCAAACAAAGAAATGATGAAATTTGCAGACAAATGGTGGGATCTAGAAATGATCAACCTGAGTGAGGTATCCCAGAAGCAGAAAGACACACATGGCATATACTCACTCATAAGTGGATATTAGACATATAATATAGGATAAACACAATAAAATCTGAACACCTAAAGAAGCTAAGCAAGAAGGAGGACCCTGGTAAGGTGCTCAGTCTTCATTCAGAAAGGCAAATGAGATAGACATCAGAAGAGGGAGAAAAGAGGGAACAGGACAGGAGCTTACTACAGACGGCCTCTGAAAGACTCTACCCAGCAGGTTATCAAAACATACGCTGAGATTCATAGCCAAACTTTTTGCAGAGTGCAGGGAATCTTATGAAAGAAGGGGAGGATAGAAAGACTTGGAGGGAACAGTAGCTCCACAAGGAGAGCAATAGAACCAGAAAATATGGGCCCAGAGGCCTTTTCTGAGAATGATACTCCAACCAAGGACCATGCATGGAGATAACCTAGAACCCATGCACAGAAGTAGCCCATGGCAGCTCAGTGTCCAAAAGGGTTCCCCAATAATAGGAACAGGGACCATCTCTGACATTAACTCAGTGGCTGGCTCTTTGATCACCTCTACCTGATGGGGGAGCAGCCTTACACAGAGGAAGAAAAGAAGCCAGTCCTGATGAGACCCAATAGAGTAGGGTCAGATGGAAGGGGAGGAGGACCTACCCTATCATTGGACTGGGGAATGGCATAGGAGAAGAGGGAGGGAAGGTGGTATTGGAAGGGGATAGAGGAGAGGGCTACAGCTGGGATAACAAAGTGCATAAACTATAATTAATAAAAAGAAAAGAAAAGAAAAAGAAAAAAGAACAGTAGCCCTCTTATTCATTTCCACTTCTTCTGATTCTTGGTTACCAGGCAAGACTGACTCACTCACTGGTGGTTGCTGCTGTTCATAGTGCCTGTATATTGCCCCCTGCCTGACCATCTCTCCCTCCTAGAGGATGGATGTCACCCCTCATACAATGTGTCAGTTGCTCTGTATTATTTATAGTTCCCTGTGATAGTGTCCACACTCTTCAACCATTATCTGTGGAATTTTCTTACCTGAGTTTTGGTGTGTTTAATTCTTATTTGAACTGGCTCTTTTAGATTCTGGATAGTAATGTTTCCAATGCTGCATGCCATCACATAACTCACAAGGATTTTTTCTTGAGATCCAACATCCTTTAAAAGAAAAGAACAAATCGCGTGCACTAGTCATAAGTACACACGTTCATGCTCCAAAATAAGCAAACTGTCAGCAACTTTTGCACTTAAGATCTTCAATTCTAGAGCATCCTGTTTATACCTTCCAATTGCTCGCTTTCCTGAAGGGTCTATGCTACTTCCCTTATAATAAATACATTGAGGGACTGCACAAATAAACCAGTTATAAGGGCATATTCATACTCTATCACGGTGATTGGTGGCAGCCAATTGATAACTGAGACAATACAAAGTCATAAAAAGCTATGAAACAGTGAGACCATTTCCCAACTCAAGAAGACAGATGAAGTTATTTACGGTGTAAAAATTAAAAAGCAATCCATCATTCACACCTATGCCAACAGCCTGATGTGTTTACTGGCTTATACCTAAATAAATTCTAGTGGATTGAAGGCCCACCCAGAACTTCTGTCTTTTATTTTTTTTACATTTGGCAGAACCTGCAGATTTCACAGAGAAAGGAAGTGGCCAAAAAGCTTGGAATACGTGCTGTTCAATGACTTGGAGCAGCAGTCCACCTTTCTACCAAGATCTCTGGGTTTCTTTTCCATCTTGCTTTCTTGTCAAACTTTAATTCTCTATGCCATTTTATAAGTCAGTTATATTTAAAAAATCATAAAATCGCTTAAATTCCAAATGCAATTATAAAATATAGCTTTAATTAACTTTCTATGTTTGTTACTATCAAAACTGTTGACTTGAATTGGGGACGGCCATCACTTTAGAAAAGATGCTCCTATCTTTTCTAAAGTATGGGAAGTATATCACAGAAACTTTACTAGTTTCTTTTTGTTTGTTTTATTATTTTTTAAACGTTTCTGTTAGTTTACTTTTAAAAAAAATCTAAAAATGTGCTTCTATAGAAGCATCCTAAAATATATACATATATGAAAGAATTCTAAACGGAATCTCCAAGTAATAGGGAAAACAAAACACCAACTAGACATCTTATACTACCAAGCAACAACTTCCAGTGCCAGGTAGGGTTATATTTTGTTGAGTTGTTGGCTAAAGGGAGCCCATGGAACCCCCAATCATCATAGGCTATTGCTAAGGCTATAAATTGCTCTCCACAAACTGACAGTAAGGCCCTACGGCTGAAGACAGCACATATTTCATCAAGCATGAAGAAGCTCAGCTGCTCCATAACTCTCAAAATCTGTATAAAAGTCTAAGTTCCAGTTTTATTATACATGAACATTTTACAAAGTTTTTTCCAAAATAATTTTTAAAATTGTGGAATGATATTTCACCATATTTATCCCCTATGTCCTTTACTTCTCTCTACATCTTAATCTCTACTATTTTCTCTATGTCTATCCTTATCTCTCTCTCTTTCTTCCTCTTCTCCTTCACTTTGCCTCCCAAGTGCTGGGATTACAGAAGCGTGGCAACAGGCCCAGTCATTTCCCTCTTTTATAACTGAGTGATTCATAGGGTGGCCATACAAGAAACATTCCTATGGGCCTAAGAGTTGAAATACTCTCTTGCACAGAGCACACGGCTGGACAAACACTGGTACCTTGACTTTAACTGGTAAAGTGTTCTGAAGAGAGGCTCCAGCAAAGTGCTCTAGATGGGGCTGTCCTCATAAAGGTCACCAAGGGTCATTAGTGTTTTCTGGCAGTGGACCATCTAGTATTTGACCTGATGCCAATAAAAATGATAATATGTGCTCAGCACAATGCCACCCTACTCTGCGGATATGAGAATGCCAAAGGTCATTTGAAATACTAATGGGAAAAATGATTAAAGCCAAGAATGCCTCTCATTATGTAAAAGGTGCTTCCTGCTGACTTAAAAAAAATCTTTTCCTTTGGTGTACAAATGCTTTAACTCTGGAGGCCCCAGGGTCTGGAGAACAAAAGGATTAACAAATAATAAATAACAGCATCTTAACTAACTCAATTTCTCATTATATAATACTAGTCTTAGCTTTATATTTATTATTTTTAAAATTCAAGTAAGTACATACTGTTAAATGGGAGATTATCTGAAGTAAAGTATTTGAAGACTTACATTATTTTTTTTTTCAATTTAGAAAGTATAATAGATTAGATTTTCTATAACTGCTGGTATATTTCAAGGAAATCTGATGTCTTGACCTTTGAGCTAAGATACTTCATTTGAAATTGGAAAACAAAAATAATTTAAAGAGTTCTCACCTGAAAAAGTCCAGTTTTGTTGAAGAAAGTGAACTGTGCTCTTCTGACCAACGCAGAATCCTCTTGACTTAGATTCTCAAGCAGGTTTGGAGGCAAAATCACAGAAGCCAATGAATCTGCCTGGCCATTCTCAAAGTCCATCTGTCACGCACAAGCACATTGGTAGAATAATCATTGTGAGAGCATTGGTAGCACAGTCCAGTCCCCATGCTGAGTGGGTTGAGAGAACATCTGCAGGGGCCACGTTAACCAGAACCAAGTTGACCTTGACCTCTGCAGAAGTCTGGAATTCCTGGGTAAGCCCCTTGCAGTCAGAGGCAGAGATCACATTAGGAGTTCACACAAGAATACCTTGATTCTAAAGCACACCAACAATTACAGAGACCAAAAAATACTTGTCAATTATGAGAGTGGGATTTAATAGTGTCAGATTTCAATGTTTTGCCATATACTATGGGCATAAATTGTTTTGTTTAACTGCAGAGCTTCATTGTCTCTGTGAAGAGGCAGCAGCTGTTTTTGTCTTGTTTTGGCATCACCTTCATTAGAAAGGAGGCAAGTGGAGAGTGACACTCTGTGAATGGAGGAATCACACAGAACAGCTCAGTCTTGATTGACACTCCTTTGGCTGCTTTACAGACTACACACCAAAAAATAGCCAGTACTAGGAACACCCTCAGATAACTTAATTCAGGCCATAGAGATCTCCTGTCCTCGTGGACGAGACTGAGACCAAAGGAGCTTCTTGCACTGTTTAAATACGAAAACCCTAGACCCCTAATCTAAAATAGAACAAAAGTCTTGCTTGTATCTCAAGCCTAGACATTTTGTATTTTCAGTGATCTATCTTGAGAGCAAACAAACAAACAAACAAACAAACCAAACAACAAAAAATAAATACAAAAAAAACCAACTGTTTTCCACATAGTTACTGTCTCAGGTCAGGAATGGTGCTGTATTCACTGGGTTTGCTCTGCTTGCTGACATTGTTTGAAACATAGTAGGCATTTGAAAATTATTGGATGAGCTATGCTTTTAAAATATCTAGAAGGGTGAGCAGGACCCCAGATTACTTGCCTAGTCTCATCTGCTTCCCTCACTGCCAAGCCTCTAGATTGTGGATTTGCACCATGTCATTCTTAGAAGAGCAATAGCAGCAGCAGCAGCAACATCTGTGCTTTGATTAAACTGGACACGGCAGGGCCCTACAAGGCCCAGAATTGTTTTTAACATGTCTTCCCTGTGACTGTAAAGTTGGTTTTGAGAAGCAGTGGCAGAGAGAAGGCTTCTCCCATGCCTGTTCCCACCTGAAGGTCTTTAATAACACGTTTATCTCTTTAAACTGGTTCCTAACCCATGCTTCCAACATGGTCTACCCCACTTAGTTTCATCTTATCTTTAGAAGGTACCTTTCACTATCTAGGCTATGAACCATATACTTCCTGATGCCATTTTAGCCAACATTCTTATCTGTCCACCATCTCTTGAATCGACTTCCTTGAGGTATCTAATATTAAAGAGCCAATAAATTTGTTCTCTGTCTTATTAATTAGTTAAAATTAAAACAAACATAGGTTTGTTACCTGGAAATATGATTCATTATTGCTTGGAAGGCCAATGCTAAAATTTGAAGGTGCATTCACTCCTGGCATCAGGGATGAGACTCCAAGAGCTAAATTCTGTGTGTCAATATTCACGTGTGGGGTGCTATTCAGGTCTAGTTTGAAGGCTAGCTCATCAATTGTTTTTAGAGCTCTAAAAAAATGAAAATGACATCACTGTTAGATTACACTATGTTTTAGGGAGTTGCTGTATGATAAAATACTAATAAAGAAAGTATTTTTAAGTTCTCTCATTTTAGTGAATACAGCCATGAGAACATCCCACACCCCAGTGCTATCAGCTAATACACAGAATCATGTAATTGATGCTTCCTCAAGAAAACTCTACTGTCTTAATGGAAATCATAAGCTAAGTCACCAGAAATGGAGTTTGTTTTCCACAAATAACCAAGAAACCAGAAGATACTGCAAAAGTGTTTGTAATTAATGCTATAGAGATAAAAATAACCTAAAGGATATGTTAATAATTATATTTTATCAAAGAAATATTACATAAAGGATGGAAACAGAAGAAATTAAAGATCCTAATGTCAATAACAAGTGGAATAAAAAATATAATTGCCCGTATCCGAGGCACTTTCATTTTAGAAGCTCACAAGGCTGTAACAGAGCTGTGTAGAATGGCAGATGTACAGTGGTTATGATAACCCTGGATAACCTTTTATGTAGGCTGATAATATATTATGATGTACTACATATGCTTTGGGGGGGTGATTTTATATATATTACCAGATGAAAATTCTACTTACTCTGTAATTTATACTTCTAAACTAGAGAGCTTTAGAATTTACTTTGTAAATGACCTTGGGAAGTACCTATGCATCTTCTGGAGCTGTGGATTATGGAATGTGATCACAAAGCAGTCAGAAGCGGGCAATGCTCTTACAACACATTGATCATTTTAATTCTCCAGGGGCAGAGATACTTACTCAGTAGAAGATTCAAGCAAATCACTATCTGAACTGCTTAAAATATTAGAAAATATATTCATTAGAGTTGAGCCAAGTGTTATATCAATATTTTCTTCTTTGTTCACAATCCTTTTGACCTGTTCTACAATGCTATTAATATTGGCTGAGGTTAGGTTCTGCCCATCACCAGTTAAGTTTAATATCTCATTGGCCACTTCATTGGATTGTCCTAAAAGGAGAGGAAGAAACAACATAAAGTTTGCCTGGGCATTTTGGAACAGACAGTATGAATAGTTTATTATACAGCTTCAGGAAGTGGGATTCCATGCATACTGTCCCTCATCCATCTTTATGAGGTAATATTGTTCTACACACAGGAACAGATTTCTTAAGTATGATACAAATGATTCAGAGAGATCATTGGTCCCTTGAAATCAATAAGTACATGTTTTCTATTTAAAAATAATACAGAAATATAAAAAAACATTGATAGAAATAGCAGTTTGCACATTATTTTTACATCCTCTACATAATTTTTTACTATTTTTATTTCCTTAGGTTATGAATATGTCACAAAATTAATATGCAGAAAGGTATATTTCTAACTAAAATATGTGAAATATTCTTTTACACTAGTTTTAATATTATACCAGTATTACACAGCAGAACATCACATCTGAAGAGAATAAAGCATTGATGATGATGAGGTCATTTCATTTGTCCTTGGAAAGGGAAGACAAATTGAACTCACTTGAACAGTTGGTGGCATCAATGGGGCTCCAGAAGGTTGATGTTGCATTAGAAAGGCTGCAATAATTACCAAACAACAAAATGGCATTTAAATATGAAATTACTAATAACTAATGAAATTACAGATAACGAAAGCAATTAATAAGTTTTTGGATTTGCCTTAATATCCAACTAAGTTCCCTTTGAAAAGAATATGAAAAAAATGCTAAAAATTCTTATTGGAAAGCCAGTCAGTAGCCTGTTCTCTCGAAGGGAAGCGCCCAGTACATCCTGCATCCTGACCTCACATACACTGTCAAGTGCTGCTCTAAGGACTTTACTGGAAAACTCAAATTTTGATTTCATACAACTCTGGAAAACAGATTTCAAACCACTTTTATGAAAGAGGAAATGCATTTTAGAGAAGCCAAGGAATTTTCCCAAGACCTCGAGCCAGGAAGAGTTAGGGCCACATTTCAAACTTGAGTCCATAAATCTCACAGCACTCTCTCTCCTCCACACCAAGTGTCACACACAGCCCTTGATGCAGAGGACTCATTAGGCACTTTCTGTTCCTGAATTCCTTCCCTAAGAACTAACTGGGCCAGGGCAGAGGGTGGGGACAACAGCATGGTGCAGTAGCCCTGCAACTGTCTCTTCAAAAGTTTACTAGACATGCAGTGAATTCTTAGTGTCTTGGCAGTCTGTGTCAACAGGCTGTCCAACCCGGATCTGGCCTTCATTCTTGCTTTGCCAGTTCTCGCTTCCCCAAAATTAATAAGAACTCAGGGGTTTTGAAATATGTTCCAAGACCAAGTTGACTACAGGGCCTGTAGCTCTGGAGTCATACTTTTGATTTCCAATTTCCTCAGTCTTTTCTTGGAGAGAGCTCAATTAACTCACCACTCAGAGGAAAGCAGTCTCGTAGGTAATATTCTTCCCTCATCTCTATCCACCCACGAGCATGTGATTCCTGCCCTACTTCTCAAATCAACACAATAGATGAGTGCTGCTGTGCTATATAGTAAGCATAGACCTGTGGCTTGCAATTCAAAGAAAGAATTACCATGTCCGAGTCATAAAAAAGCCAGGCTTGTTTGGACACGGTTGTTTGTAGACAGAAGGTAAGCTGGTTGGCCAGATAAAGCCCTCAGGGTCCACCAAGGCACTACACATACCTGGGAGAAAATAAGAGCCAACATGAAATAGACAAGCCCTTACTTTTCTGAAGTCAAAGGTGTAGGATAAAAACCAATGACTGCCCTGGGAGTTGTCACTATTTATATACTACTAAAATGACCAGTGTTTTATATTAGAATTTTTAAAAATTAGCAAGAATAAAAATACATTTTAAACAAAAATCATTATATCTTACAAAAACATTTTATAATAATAGATATAGGGTAAAAATAAAGATACAAGATCATTCATGCAAAGTAATAACAAGGTATTAATAAATGAGTTTCATTTGAGATAAACATAATCAGAATTGAGAACAAACCTGAAAATCAAACACAGGGCTAAAATTAACAAAGTAGAAATAAAGAATACTATTAAAAACATATGCAGTTTTTAAATCCCATAAGTGGAATCTGTCAAGGTTATTTTAGTACTTTGCTCCTTTAAAGATAAGAAAAGATAAATACAAACAGCTTGTCTCCTTCGTTTCCTTAGATTCCGAGACATTGCGATGATGTTTTTATGCTGCATTATACACTTTTTAGTGGTCTCTATATAACAAATGTCATCATTAAAAATATACCTTACACAGACAAATAACAAGTGAAAAAGAGCGCCCTGTATGCTCCTTAGCTAACGGTGCATGAACTCACACACACTGAGCTCGCGTACCCAGCGGTTTCACTTGTACTCTGTACAGGCTCAGGCCATCCTCCAGCGAGGCATTGTTTGTTAGAAGCTGCTGTTCGATCTTTTCTTCCTCCAGGTTGACATTATTGGTGTCATTGTAGACTAGAAGGGCCCACAGCACCAACCTAGAAAAAAGATTTCAGAGAGAACTAGTGTTCCTGGGTTTGCTGAATGACTGGCTAGTTGTGGGGCGGGGACAGGGGCGCTGGGTTAGAAACAGAACATGGATGCTGTAACACCTTGAGACTAAAAGGATCAGCCAGGGTGTCTTGACCTCTGTGGTACAAATTGCAGCATTCACACTGCTTCACCTGGAATCAAGTTTACAAGATAACTTTCCAGAATTTTATCATGGCACTCTAGTTCTTTTTCAGAAATGAACTATTGATATTAAATATGTAAGTAGTTCTTTTTCAGAAATACTTACATATTTAATATCAATAGTTCATGTATTGTATACAATACTTGTAACATCCTCTCAAAAGGGAACGTCAGTTTCTTTCTTTATATGCAAAACTTAAAATTTCAAAGGAAAAATTGAATTGTATATTGAACTCTTGATATTGTGTTATTATTTACAAATATGGAGCAGGCCCCACAGGTGGAAATTTTACAAGTACTTTGTATGGTAAAATAAATACTCAAAGTTATACCCAGTTTAGCTAGTACACTAATACAAATGGTTTTAGAATGTGTGGCCTTGAAAATGCCTTTACAGGAAACAAAAAGATAGAGTTTTAAAGCCCTGTCAGAACTTAGAGCTAAGCCAAAATCATAGCTTTCATTTAAAGGTAATTCAGTATTAAGACAGAGGTACATGATGCCATTTTGTTAGAGAAAGGAGCATTTTTTGATGTTTTTGCGAGAGTGCTGCATTTGTATTTTCTCCACATTCTGGAGAAATACGAAGAATGTGGCAAACATCACTCCATTATCTAGATTAGGTGCTATTCACATGCCAAAGAGAAGAGGAGGCGGGTAAACGCAAAGTACAGAGGATGGCACATTCTATTTATGAAATTGTGTTGGTAAGAATAGAAGTAAATACAGAGCTAGTTCATTTGTGGTGCTAAAAAGTAAGGGATAAGTTAAGTATTTGTTATTCCAGGTTAGGTGAAGCAGCTGAATTTTACCTCCTAAGTAGCTGATGATCTCATGGACAAAATGATACGCTCTTCTCTCAAAACTTTATTTCTAAAATGATCTACTGTAAAATAGTCATATATAAGCCATACTCCAGCAAGACAGGTATAGATGTGGACATATGGTGGACGGTGAATGGCATATGATGTGGTGTCCTCTGATTCAATGGGAAGAAAAGCACTGCCCCTTTACCTCCTGAGAATACACAGCCCTGACCAGGACAACATCCCAATGCATTGTGGGTGTATTCAATACAGAAACCTAACCATTCAACAGTGAGCCTGCATTTGCACAATGCTTGTCTGTGTTAGTTTTCTGTCCCATCAGAAAACAAAAACTGCTCCCTGGTTCTACACCAGTCCAGGTCTATCTTGTTGCGATTACCATTCATCACTGGAATAAGCCACTCCCTCTGTGGTTTCAGGTTCCCTGATGGTCTAGGCAGTAGAATAAACAGCATTATTGAATGCTTGAGATGCAAACCTGAATTGGAAGGAAAAATTTTGGGGAAAGGAATGGATGTGAAACTAGTAGACTGTGGTATGGAGGGAGACTATAGTGCCTCATCGATGAGCATAAGAGTAGTTGGAGAATAGTTTTTTTTTTGTTTTTTGTTTTTAAGAGTGGGAAGCTATAAAAAAGACAATGCTGAAGATTTATAGCAAAGGAAAACTAAGTAAGTCGATTTTCCCACAAGCTAGGGATATTCATTCTCCCTATAATTTTCTGTGAAATTATTCACTGGTTTGAAAGACCAGAAAATTGAGATTTCATTTATTTAAATGTCTTTTGCACAAAAGCTTTTGAGATGCTGGCTACACCCACTGTGGCTGATTTTAGTGTTATCAGTACTAGAATAATATTTGTGAGGAAACTGATGGGGTGCTCATTTTCTAAGGAAGGGGACGACTAGTTACGCTTTAAGCTAGGTTTGTCCAAAATGCTAGATAAAGCACCCTCGGGATCCTAGCTGCTTCTGGAGCCACTGTTACAGACTCAACATTATGTAGTAGGTGGGGAAAGGATCATTTTCCTAGGAAAAGGAGTAAATTCTTGTTATTTACTATCTTGAAATATGTTACTTTGTTTTCAGATCATAAAGGAAAATGAATGTTGTCAGAATACAAACCTATCAGGCAGTGTGATCCAATTTACCCAATATATATATATAGAAATTAAACAAAGTTTAAAACATTTATTTTTATAATATTAAATAGAAAGAAAAAATAATAAAGTTCTCTAACTTTCAAATATGATTTCATGGGTGTCTTCTCATAGTAGTGACACATCATAGTGTTCAAGGCTGTGTTTTCAGTTTTTAAAAAGTCTTTACATATTTTGTAGCACACACACAAACATGTGTGTGTGTGTGTGTGTGTGTGTGTGTGTGTTGTGTGGGTGTTTGTATGTGTGTGTAGAACACAAGCGGAGGTCAGAGGACAACCTGTAGGAGTCAGTTTTTTCCTTCCATTATGTAGGCTTTGGAGATCAAACTCAGGTCAGCAGGCTTGGCAGTGAGTACCTTTACTCAATGAACCATCATATCACACAATGGCTATATTTTCATAGCAGCAAATCAGTAAATTAAAACTGACCAAGGTTTCTAAGAACTTTAGCCTTTCAAATGATCTTATTTTACAATTCTATGGAGATAGGATACACAACCCTAAGACAACTATTTCTTTCAGGGCTTTAACTGTTCATTTTGCAGCAATCTGATCTTATGGACCTACTGGTTGTACATGTACTATCTGGTTAAGTCATGATCTTGACAAAATTTTAAAAATGGAGGCCTTAAAAATAGTGATGATTGTAGATACTAAAAAGTTTGGACTACTCTCTATGTTTTCATGTGCTATCACATGTAATTATCTTTATCACAATAGAGCTATTTGTGGGGTAGCTCTGGGGCTAGAACCCAGGACCCAGCATATGCTGGGTTGGTGCTACCAATATATCCCTGAGTTTTGCCTCATACCATGAAACTACTTATCTGTAGGTCATTTTGGAGTTTTGAAAAGGTAGTGATGGATTTTGATGTGTTACAAATGTTAGACTTTTCCCATCCCTCTTAAGCATTCTGACCTTTCACAGACTTACATTTCTAGGCCACTTGCTTACTCTTTCAGCTTCAAATATGAGAAACGTGTGACATGCATTCATGCTGAGGAAATAATGTGAATTTACTAGGCAATTAAAACATTTTTCTTTGACCATTGTTTCATTTTTCTTCCAGACAGCCAAAGTTATGACCAAGGAGAAGAAAACTTTCCAGGTGTCCCTGGCATTACCTTTTGTCATCAGCCATAGTGTCTCTCTTGACTTTAATCCTGTCCTCCCCCATGCCCCGGTGAACACTGTAAAAACAGATACATATATCCATTATCAAGCTCATCCATTGTGTCAAGACATCAGCAGAAAAGCTGCAGAAGGTTAAAGGAGCAGGAGGGATGGACACTGATACAATTTTCCTAAGTCTGTGCTCTGAGGTACCCAGTTGCACACACTGGATAGCTGTGTACTCCAAAAAAGAACCTGCCCTGTTTGTTGAGTGAGCTACCTCCTGAACTTATTGGGCAACTTGGCCTCTTTCCTGTGCCATTTCATCTTTGAGGTTTAAGTATAAGATTATGAAAGCATGTTCACAGGAGCCTGAGTGGCCATTATTTGGTGGAAAAATTAAGCAGAAAAATAAGGAAAGCTCATTTTTTAAAAAAATTATTTTTAGTTTTTCTTCACAATTTATTCATCATATATCCCGACTGAAGCCTCCTCCCTCAACTCCCCCAGTCCCACCCTCCCTCCCTCTTCCCCTTATCCCCTTCCAGAAGAGGGCAGATTGTTAATATCTTATTTTGTAGAGAAAGCAGTCTTGAAACTGGAGTGATACCCCCAGTTCATACTCAGTGTGATCTACTAAGGAAAGTCAAACAGAATTTTTTTCTTTAATTTTGATATATTAGAACACATAATATATTGATTCAATTATAGAATCATATACACAGGTGTTCAGATACCGTCAGAGAGAAAGAATGGTAAATTAAACATATCTACTTCTTAGATAATTAATTGCATTTACCTTATATTAACCACATAAACAGTATAGTTCCAATTCTGGAAAGTTGAATTGAGCTGGAAGAAACAATGGAAAAAGATGAGTTTCAGTAATGCTTAAAAACATTCTTTTATGAGTCAAGGTTATCTTTCTTCCAAAAGATGAGCTGTCATTGGTAAAAAGACCCTGGGAAAATGCTGAACAACTGCAGGAGCAAAGATAAAGGAAGGCTTGCTGGACCAGCTAGCCAAGAATGCAATGAATGCCACTTCTTTTATTCTTCACATTAATCAATGACACCGATACTAAATTCCCACTCAAACTCCACCCTCTTGTTTATGAAGAAATGAAAGTTTAGGGAGGTTAAACAGCTTTTCCAGGATCATCTACTAATCAATAGCAGATCTAACCCAGGAACTCAAGCCAGTGTACTAGGAAAACACTGTCATTTCCCCTCTAGCTAATCTTCTCCTAACAACCCCTCCATTAACACTTTTCTTAGTATGCATTTAAATAAGTATTGAGATGACATCAAACATATTTTGTAGTTAATTGCCATTTCATAGGAACATCAGTAGCAAGAAAAATAATACAAACAGAAAAATACGTCTTTGATAATGTCCAGTAGCATGGGGATTTTGCCAAATTTGTATGGTTAACAGTTGCATTGGTCTCAGCATAAACAGTAAATCTCCACAGTGCAATGGCCAAGCTACAGTAATACGCCACGATCATTAACATAAAATTCTGTTATCTTCTAGTCATCTCCCAGGGCTCCTTTAGGTCATATCTCAGATACGTCTTTATTTTTTGTAAATATTATTAAAATGCAATACCATTTTTAGAAAATATTGTGAAAGCGATGATAGGTATTTTGGATATAATTAGGTTGTTTATGCTTTATTTAAATTTAGTACTTGTGCCCAAAAGTATTCCTGATCTCTGATTTTTTCCCCCTGAATTTGTAATGTTTGCAAAATCTTCAATGGTTTATCATCCCTAACCCCAAATACTAAGGAGGTCTATCAGATTTTAAATTCTCAGGTTAGATGACTGCCCCCACCCCTGAAAAGAGCATACTTGCTATTTTCAAGCAACTGCTTTGGAAGCTTGAATCGTAAATGAAAGGTGGCTAACAAAGCTTAGCCTCAGATGACAGTGATGTCGGGACGCAAACCATGCAGGACTGAATGTAAATGTAAAATTGTACCCTGTCTAGTGAAAGCTTCCCATTTAGTGCTCAGGTTCATGATTAGTAATATTATCCATGGTTGAGAATGGAAATAAGTACTTTTATTTTTAGAAATTATACTGCCTGTAAAAACAAATAAAAAGGACATTGTGGAAAGAAAATGGGATGTGAGAAGCCACCCTTTCCCACAGCCTGTCTCCATCTGGAAACTGAGCACAGAATTACTGTTTCGATCCATAAATACTATTTAGGCTGTGTTGTATCCTATGTCCAAATACATCTCTCTTCCTGTACATAAACACAAGACCTTGTTTCTGTCTAGTCATATACTTTTTTAAGTTTTCGAGTTTATTTTTAATTATGTGTATGTGTCAGGGGTAGGATACACACGTGAGTGCAGTACCTATAGAGGCCAGAAGATGGCAGTAAATCCCCTGGAGCTGACAGAAGCAGGTGCTGGGAACTGCTGCGGCTGGGTGGTCTGGAGGGACAACAAGAACTCTTGACCACTGAGCCCCTTCTCCAGCCCCATATTCATCTATTTATAATGAGCACATTAGTGCAGTGAGATCTACAGTTTCATTCAGAATCTTTCAATCTATAAAGAAGTTAAAGTTTTAAAGCAAAAAGTCAATGGAATTAAGTTTACTTACCCATTCTGCCACCTTGCTCTGTACTTTCATTTCAGGGTGGTTAAGGTTGTTGTAAATCACAACAGATATTCTATACATTATTCCATCTGCAGTTGGAAATAGTATTAATATTTAATTACATTTTACATTCAGAACAAACAATGCAAATTCATAAGCACATCATTTCATATTATTTAAGAACATATAGGCACAAGAAGTTTGGACCAATTTTTTTGTTAAAATTACTGTTGCAACTGCTTAGAAGTAGCTCTTGATTAGTTTACTCTTATAGATACTTCACAGCTTCTATTTCATCTCTTGATTATGACCTCTGAAATAATAGCAAGCTATTTTTTTTGTTTACTTCTATAGATTTCTGATATCTAGGGCTGATAAAGTGGAGTTTTCAATATGAAGTTTGATTTTTAAAATTAATTTACTTTTTATTGATTACACTTTGCATCCCCGCTATAGCACCCTCCCTCAGCCCCTCCCAATACCACCCTCCCCCTCTCATCTCCTCAAGTCCACCCCCCAAGTCCACTGGTAGGGGAGATCCTTCTCTCGTTCCCTCTGACCCTAGCCTATCAGGTCTCATCAGTAGTGGCTGCACCGTCTTCCTCTGTGGCCTGGTAAGGCTCCTCCCCCCTCAGGGGGAGGTGATCAAAGAACCAGCCACTGAGTTCATGTCGGAGACAGCTTCTGTTTTCATTACTAGGGAAACAACTTGGATACTGATTTTTGGTAGTAAGAAATTATGCTTATATGATTAGACATGGTAGTTTTGGACTATGAAACAGAAAGTGGGTTTCTTGGCAAGATTTATACTAGAAAGGAACAGGCAATCACCTGTCCCCTCTCCAGGAGCCCTTTCCTGTCCCATTTCCTCTTCCCACTCTCCTTAGTGAAGCATACTGTTCTAGGGTATTGGGTTGGATTTGACCAATTTTTTTTTTCTGAAAGCCAGAAGAAAACAGGAAACAACCTTGAAACCTGCCACAGAGGGCCTCTGAAAGCTTCTGCAGTATAGACTGTCAAAGCAGATGCTGAGCCTGATGGCCAACTGATGGGCAGAGTGAATGGAATTTTATGTAAGAAGTGGGAAATAGTAAGAGCTGGAGGGGACAGGAAGTCCACAAGGAGAGCAACAGAACAAGATAATTTGAACAAAGGGAACTTCCCAGAAAATCATACTCCAACCAAGGACTATTCGTGGAGATGACCTGGAACCCCTGCACAGGTGTAGCCCATGGCAGTTCAGTGTCCAAGTGGTTTACATAGTAATGGGAAGAGAGACTGCCTCTGACATAATCTGATTGGCCTGCTCGTTGATCACTTCCCCCTGAGGGGGGAGCAGCCTTACCAGGCCACAGTAGAGGACAATGCAGCCACTTTTGATGAGAACTGATAGACTAAGATCAGAAAGAAGAGGAGAACTTCCCCTATCAGTGGACTTGGGGGGTGACATGCATGCAGAAAGGGGAGGGAGGGTGGGATCGGGAGGGGAGGAGGGAGGGGCTTATGGGGGGATACAAAATAAACAAAGTGTAATTAATAAAAAATTAAAAAAAATAAATTTCTAAGGACAGCCCCTTTACCTAACAGAGAGGGTATTTACAGGTGGAATTTTAATTGGTTTGATGGACTTTATATAAGAAAACCATATTCTGAAAAGAAGGTTCTATTTTTTTAATGGTTCTGTAAAGTGTTGAGACTTTTTGTTCCCATGAAAAATAAACTTATCAGAAAGGGTTTGATAGACTACAGGCCCTAAGTCTATGCTACAGGTTCAAAGTCACCAATGGAAAATTACCCCTATAAAACAGAAGTTAAAGAGAAAGGAGAAATTAGTATCCATCATTGTTAGCCGTCTTTCTCCATGCTTTTAAGGTAAGTCATAAGTAAAAAGCATAAAATATCTAGAAATATATAATTTCACAATACTGAGGCATGCATTTAATGTAAATTTTGGGGAGGCAGTACAAAACATATTGAAGTATGTCTCTGGAAAATCTCAGCTATACCAAAAATGGAAATCCCATTCCTATTATTCTAATGTGAAATAATAAATACTTCTATCTTCTCACACAGTTATAAAAATATGCAAAAATAAATTCAAAGACTGGTGAGCTTAATTTAAACACAAGAGGTTATTTCAATGTCTAAAACATCTAATGTCTTAATGATTTTGAATTTTATATTCCTTCGAAACATGATCTGAATGGATACTATTTAGACACAGATAAAAGAGATGGTACTAACTCGAATTTCAAAAAACCTACGCTGTGGGTCTCAGCTCATCAAATCATGGACTTGCTGAGTGGCTTGAAGAATATTCTATCTGCAAAGGTCCAAGTGTGCCAGTGTCCAAGGGACAAAGAACAGTCACAGATGCTTGTAGAGTATACAGAGTTACCACTAGATGGAGTACTAAATGTAAGTAATTATTTTTACGTACATTGAAAAATGTTACAAAAAGTGAAAATGTCAGTATTTTAACCATTGACATTTCTGAAATGGAATCATCGTAATTTTGATGAACTTAGTAAAATTTTGACAGCCCTGAGGTAAGAGGACTGGATAAGGTAGATAAGTCTGAAACGAGTCCCCATCTTACTGGCAATGGAAAAACTGTATTTTCTAATATGTCAGATGACAGCCTGAGAATGTTTACTGTGCCAGTTTCTCAAGAATAAAAAAAAAAAAATGTTGATAGTATGTGAATGACATTAGAGAGTCTGGAACATGAGATAAATGTGATATATTTACAGAGAAAAAAATCTCTCCTCAATTATTTTAAATTAGGACAGAGGAAAAACCTTATTTGAATATCTTTTATCTGCAATACATTGTTCCTTTTCTCTTTTAGAAAAGAAAATGAAAGGCTCAGCTGTAAACTATTAGGAGTCTAGCACAATATAAAAGATAGCTGTGGAACACTGTGGCATCGCCCTTATTTTAAATTTTCACTTTTGTAGTTATAGTATCGTTATGTAACAGTGAAATCTCATGTGAATAGAGTAAGTCAGTCAATATAAGTGAAGTCAGTAAATATAGGAAAAACACATGATTCAAGTATATTATTAAAACTACTAATATAATAAAAATGGAACACAAAATTTTGAGACATTTTCACCACACATAATATTTTAACTTTTAAAATTATAAGATAATAACAACAGTCATCCAATTTAGATTCTTCTTTATAAATGTGGTCGAGATAAACCATTTTGACTGACTCTGATATTTGCCTGCTTTGGTGAAACTCTAATGAAGGTTCTGATGCAGAGAGGGGTGGCCTGAACAAGGCTCTCTTCAAGAGTGTCAGAGCTGCATGGGTACATGAATACAACTCCAATCCACCAAGTCAAGGGCTCTGAAGTCCTCGTGTGTCAGTGTTCTTGGGCAGCAAAAGATGTGCCAGTTCTGAAGAGAGAGTGCCACAGAGGCTCTTTGTATACTCATACAAAGAGGGAAATACTTAGTTAGAATTATAATATTCCCATCTGCTGGCAGAAGTCCTGGTGAAATCTGTGCTGGAAACGTCAGCTGCTGTTGCTGTTTGCTTGGGGCGGGGGTAAGGAGGTGGTGGTGGTGCTGGAATCATAAATCTCCATGGTGTAGCTAGCAGAATAACCATAAACAGTTCCTTGAATCGATGTTTTTATAACCCTAATAAAATTTATATCTATGTTTCATGTAAAATATTCCATACTTCCAATGTAAATGTCCTTACAGAGGGAGTTGACGTAACCCCTGAAGCCATAAGGGGAAAATAAAAGTGAACTATGTGGGTTTAATGTTTCCCTGGGTTTTAGACCCTTGGTGATACGTTATAAATGTCTGACCTTCCAAGCTAAAGGAGTGCATTTTATAAAACTTCTTTGCCTCTAGTATCACATATTTGAGAATATTACTGTGTTGAAAGCAGCACACCATTCACTTGGTTGGAATTTGTCAGACAAGAAACTAAAACTACTAACTTCAAACTGCACATGGCAAAGTATGTGATCCATATGAGCAGCAGAATTATAAAGAATCGAGCCATTTGGCTTTTCCTATACTGGTTTCTTAGAAGACCTATCTGGCACATTTGATTTTTATTAGTACTAATAATGAAAAAGGGCAGGAAAGGCTGAAAATTACTTGAAATTTTATCATAAAAGTTGGGGCTCCAAGTGGAGCTCAGAGGTAGGACACTTGCCTAACATGTGGAAGCCTAGATTTCAGCCTCCCACAAACTGACTGGTGACTGATAACATCCTAAGCAGTGCTCTTTAAGGAGTGATCAAAAGGTACAAAGTGTTACCATGGCCACTGATACAAATGTACTAAGTGTTGAAGCACAAAGTTGACTTCCATGGAAAGTGAAATGCCAATGATCAGGGTTTTTTGTTTTGTTTTTTTTTTAATTTTTATTTTTCTTTTTAGTTACATTTTGTTAACTCTGTCCCAGCTGTATCCCGCTCCCTCATTCCCTCCCCAACCACACACTCCCTCCCTGGTCTCCTTTCCAACTCCTCCTCCCCTTTCCAAGTCCACTGATAGGGGAGGACCTCCTCCCCTTTCATTTGACCCTGTTTTATCAGGTATCTTCAGGGCTGGCTGCAAAGTCCTCCTCTGTGGCCTAACAGGACTGCTCCTCCCCTGGGGTGGGGGGTGTCAAAGAGCCTGCCCTTGAGACAATGATCAGGTTTGTAACACAGCAAAGCATCCTTTTAAAACCTGTATCCGCATGTGGTGTTCTTGGTACTGTCCAGCCTGCCACCCTTTGGGGTGCACGAGAAATTCTATTTCTCAAACAAACAAAGTTTCTCAGTTGTCCTAATTTGACAAAAACACCATAAAAAGATCTTTTCTTTTTCTCTCAGATGTATTTGAGTGAAAATTAATTCATTCCAATCAAGTGGCTTTTGAGGGGTGGGTGTGGGGAGGGCTAGTTTTAAGCAGCTTCTTTGGCTGTCTTGGAACTAGATTTGCAGACCAGGCTGGTCTCAAACTCTGTTTGCCTGCCTCATCCTCCCAAGTGCTGGGATTAAGGGCATGCATCACCATCACCAGGACCCAGGTTTTAGCTCAAAGTAAAGAAAAGAAGTCCTTGAAGCTATTAGTTCAGTTGGGGATTCAAGAGAAAGAGATGTTTGTTTCACCAGTCTTCAAATGCACTCATGAACCAAATGTTTCCCGACATAGAATGTTGCTAGAACTTGCTACGTCACCACTCACAGAATACAGTTTTACACACTCTAGATGTACTACGTACAGCCTCTTACCAAATGAGTCTTACCATTCTTTTGCTTATGGATTCTGTTAGTAACAGGGATATTAGTGGTGACAGTGGGTGATGTAGGAGTAGAAGGGCTTACAGTAGCTGCTAATGAAGATGAGAAAGAGCATCAAACAGTTAATATAGATAAGCAATCAACAGCCAATATATGAAAATGCATAGGTAAGTTGAAACTACGTCATGCTACTGAAACAATAGAGTAAAAACTTATCATGCATAAAATGAAGTAAGGCTTTCTATGGTACATTAAAAATCAGTTCGATGTCTTTTTAATTGTGAACAATTGTGTTCATCTTAATTCAAATGCATTGTGAAAATGCTTTTATTCATTAAGGGAAAAACAGGGAATAAAAGAAGAAAAAACTGAGTTTCTGGTCCTTTAGTCCATATGAGTACTTAGATACATATATTAAAATAATAAGAAATAATGAACTTTTGAAACATTCATATCAAGGGCCCTCTGTTCTATTTTGTACAACTATTTCATAACTGCACAGAGTTCATGGAAAGAAACAAACGATGTAATATTTCCTGGGGAATCGATTAGGGGTAATATTCACGTATCTTAAAAGGGAAATCTAAAAATAGAGTATTTTCCTTACTCTGTCCATCTTTATCTCACTTCTGACCTATCACCTTTGTGCCATGATCATTTTAACAAACCTTTTGTGGAAAGGCGTAGCCATGATTCTCATGTGGAACACAGAAAATTTTACTTTTTCTTAGAGGCATTTAACATGACAATGGATGGAAACAGGTCACAAAAAATTAGAAGGCAAAATTATAAATTTAAGGCAATATATTTTACATACATATGTAACTATATATTATTAACATCCAACTTCTTAGTACACAACTTTATTCGCAATATAATCATTAGACATTAAAATAATATTAACTCAGTTAATATTAACATTAGCTTATTTAAATATTTTTATCTTAAGATTTAAGTTTTATAAATAACAAAAATTGCTTCACATCCCCATCTACAAATATTTTTTAAATAATTCAATATAAGATTTTCCCCTCAATTTATGGATATAAGTACTTCTTCAAAGTACTGCTTGAGTGCCTATCCAAGATGTGTGCAATAACCTTTAGATGAAACATGGAGAGAGATGAAATCAGCCCTTACTGAGCAGCATGCAATTGTTCACATTTAGAAAACCAGAGCTTTATGGAAATGTGGCCAGTATGGCCAATGTGTCCTGATAGCACATTATCTCTGCACCCACACAGCTACAATACACCTAGAAATTCTATTTTGCTGTTTCTTGGTTTCTAGGTAAAAATTAAGATAAAAAAAAAAGCAGTGACAACTACAACATCTCAAATGGCAAGTGTAAGAACACAAAAAGGTTTCAGAAGATGATGTCAGCTCCCTACCTTGACAGAGAGTCCCCAGATCTGAACAGTTAGTCAGCTCTGCCGCAGGGAATGGGATCAGGTAGGAACCTTGGTCAACACAGAAGCATATACAAACTTAAGTTGTGATTTGCTGATATTATCCAGAAAGTAAATATTATTAATCATGTAATTGGTAAAGCAGAAAGCCTTAGGGAATCAGCTGACAATGCTCCAAAATGAAAACGTCTTTTAATGGGACTGTGCCTTACTGTCCTCAAAAACAAAATTGTACAAGTGAAACTGCTCTCAAGATCTTGAGCTCAATTTTTCAGTCATGCACACATGAAATGAAGGAAGCACGACTGTCCCTCAAAGTTAGGTAAAACATTTGAGGCATTTTTGAATAATGAACTATGAGACTGAGATAGTAATTCACATAAAAATATAAAAAAATAAAAATTAAAAAAATATGAACATTCAGGCTTCATTTCAAATCAGAAATTGGGTAATATGAATTACTCATAATTGCAGATTTTGGGGGTTTGTGTTTGTACTCTGCAATTCCAGAAATACCTTCCTGTGATTTCATGTCAGTCTTGTTTCTTTTGACTTCAACCTTGCATTAATTCCTCCTCAACAGGAAACAGACACTGAGCTGATATTTTTTAGTAGAAATATCTGTTGCTCTAAATCTTCCTGTGCTGATTACAGGCTGAACTTATTGCACATAATATGGCACTTGAATAAAGACATAAGAATTAATTCAAATATATACATTATACAAATGCACATGTATAATATACTATATATTTTTGAAAAACATAAGTATAGTGACAAATTCATTCTAATGTCTAAATATGTGTCCAGCTTTCCCATGGGAATATTATGTAAAGGCAGAGCACGTGCATGATTTCACAAACTACGTCTAATTAGGTAAGTGATATATACAAGCAGAAAATATCTCAGCAGTTTAATGGCATCTAGGGAGGTACGATTTCCTCTTTCTCAGATGCCTCAGGCTCAAGGAATGAATTGTGACACATCAGAAAAAAAAAAGGCCAGCTGTCCTACAGGCAGGTCTATGATGTGACATTTGCTGGCATTAAACTACTTCATAGTTTCCTGAAATAAACACAGATACTTTCTCTATAGTATATGAGATACAGAGGATAGAAAAGTGCCTGATGCCGCATCTACTCTCAGAGAGGCACCAATGGAAGCTGGCCTTACTGTAATGTCTGCCCAAGTGACTAGGGAAGAGTTTCAATGGTGGTAGTGGCCCACAGGAAGCTGTGACAGTGGCATAATGAGTAGAATGAACAGGAAACCCAGCACATAGGCACTAAGGTTGCAAGAGCGCTGAAGCAACAAGAAAGGACTTCTGAAACACGTGCCAATGAGGCACTGAAGAGCTCTGGGAATACACTCATTGGCAGCACTGTAGTAGATTCATTACAGAAACATGTGGGCATAATCAGCTATATGTCAATGTAGCCTGTGGAAGACCTTCTGGAATACCACAGCAACACTGTTGAGGCTCTCAGTCTTTCTCCCAAAGCTGAGTTCCATGCATAATAGACACGCATGCACAAGCCTCACTAAAATATTACTGAGTGCATTATGAATGACAGCTAAATATCTGAAATCTTTTTAACAAGCAATTGGAATAAATGAAGGGAACTTGGTGAAACCCTAGACTACCATTTGAAAACAATTTTTGATGTAAGGAGATGCAAGAAGGCAAAATTAATATTAATCTTTCGGGTCTCACATCATAAGTGTCAAAAAGACAGGACTGAAAGAGATGGATACAGAAATAAGAAGACAGATTGTGTCAGATTTGGTGACTAATTGGAAAGAGGAAGAGAAAGGAAAGAATAGAGGACAATTTGCCAGTTTCTGACTTAAGAAACTGGGCATGATGACCTCATAGGTAGAAAAAGGAGATAGCAAGAGCAGGATTATCTTCTGTTATATCTGACAAGGGAAGTCACTTGCCTGTAGGACATCTATAACGTACACATGAGAAGCTGTTTCTGTAAGGGACCAGTCAACCAAAGTATGGGTTTGAGATGAGAAAGGGATCAAACTAGCTATTGCTATATTTACGTTTCCAGTGCAGAGATTTGGGGAGATAAGAACTGCTCTTGGGTAAAGTGGCCTCCATGGAATTTAAGTAAAGGGAGTTGAATGGAGGGTGTGGCAACGTAAGTGGAACTGAACAGTTGAAGTGATAAAGACTGAAAAACCTTTAACTCCACTGTACAGGAATCCATGTCAGTCTCGTGGGAACAATGAAACTCAGACTGCAGAAGCTTGGAGAGTGAATGCAAAAAGAGGAAGCCTGGTTGTGCAAGGAAGCACAGATAGCACAGGGAAGTTTTGAGGACTGAAAACGCAAGCAAGCAAGCAAGCATGTACCCTGGGAAAAGCTTGTAATGTGGAGTAGTGGGGGAAAGGTGGAGATAGAGGGAGAACCTTATCTTGGGAGCTTTCTGCCCTTTGTGCATGTCCACTATTCTCAGGACCCAACAACTACACATTTTAGAAAAGACTTCTGAAAACTAACAAGGCTATCAGAATCGTGATTGGAGAAATCTCAGCCATTGTAACCCAGCACAGTGGAGACCCTTGGATGAGGTTCCTGTAATTCTCAGATTACACACAATGCTGGCAGTTCAGGGCTCCTTTGAGGCTTCTGGAACTGATATGGTATCTCTCCAAGACAAAGAGAGATAAGGGACAATGTTGTGGGAAAGAAGTTCTTGGGCTAACTACATTTCCACTGTAGTATATCTAAGAGCTCAGAGTGGGAATAAAGGAAAATGTCAGAAGAGCTACGATTTAAAACAAGATCTTGACCATTTTATCAGATTCATTGTATACATTTCAATCTGTGGCTTCCTTACAGGGGAAATTGTAAACATTTGTTTCTGAATATTTTAATTAGTTTTTCTTTCTAGGGGAAGGTCAAGTTTATCAAATTGCTAGTACTGTATAAATACTGAATAGTTGCTATTGTGTTACAATCTCATGCAGCAACAGAAATTACATCTGATTTTTTTTTTTTAGTGAAAAATGGCACCAAAACAAACGCCATAATTTAATTAGAAGGAAATTACACTGGTAAAGGAAATCTCATATTATAAATATGTGGGACTATGTAAACAAATACAAAAAGTAAATCCTGCTGGATGGTAAAATGCCATTGTAGTTTCATCCACTCAGGAGGTTGAAGCAGAATGATCACTCGAGCCTCCAACTTCAGGCTAGCCTGGTGAACACAGCAAGATATAAATAAGTAAATAACCGAAGCACACAAAACTCTTCATTTCCACTCAGGTGTGCTTTCATTGCCCAGTTTTCTAGGCTTATAGAATTGGGCAACTGTAACAAAAGAGATAAAGTCTTATTTCAGGTCAGCGAGTTGTCAATCATCAGTGTTGCTTATGGGATCTCTGTGTGCTCTCTAGCTTCTGAGTCTGCTCAAAGGTATTTAAAGCTTGTTTGCAAAGAAAAAAATTATAGTCACATTATATACACAAATGAAAAGAAATCTTGAAAATGAGGAGTTGGGACTCAGCAGAGTGTTTGCCTAGGACCCATGAAGCCTTGGGCTCCACTAAAGTAGCATGGCAACACACATCCTAGTACTTGACAGGGGGACACGAGAGGATCGCATCAGGCTTTTCCTTGGTACATAGGGAGTTTCAGACCACCATCAGTTAGGGATCTGTCTCACAGAAGGAAAACAGGCAGTTGGTAAAAAAAGTTTTCCATGTTTCTCTTTGTTGATATTAGTAAGATGAATTTCATAAACAAATTATTATAATTTTACAATTTTTATTTTTTATATTTTTCTCTTTTTGTATTGTGTGGTGTGTGTGTTACCTATATGCAGGTTTGTATGTACATGTGCATGGAGGCCAAGAAGCTGATGGCAGTTGAATTCCTCAGTCATTCTCTATCTTATCTTCTGATGAAGTTTCTTATCCATCACGGAACTCACTGCTTCAAGTACACTACCTAGCTAGTATGCCCCAGAGAGCCCCTATTTCTGCCTCCACTGCTGGGATTACAGGTTTGTAATTATAGGTTTTTGGTGGGTGTCAGGATCCATACTCAGATCCTTTACCATCTTTCCAGTCTTACTTTATAACGTTATTATTATTTTGTGTGTACAATTATTTCTAAAGATCATCTATGCTCCTAATGAGTTTGAGCACCCTCAAAAAATGTGCTTGTCATGATAAAGCAATTATATTTTCGGTTAAAAATGATCTAATAATTTAACAAAGGTGAACTCAGTAATTTGCTGAGCATGAAACTAAGGACCAATAATTGAATTTTAGAGCTGTGAAAGTCAGGACTGTAATTTATTAGTTACTTATGAGAAGATGAAAATTAGAGAGTGATGGGTTCTTAGTAATCAGGAGAAAAATTTTAGAGCTGAGAACTAAAGTGCATTGAAAAACCCACAAAGAGTAAAAAAAAAAAAAAAAAAAGTCCATAAAGACTAACACAAAGTTGGGTACTTACAATTTATGTCTTATCTCTACATCCACAGTCACTAAGACATGGAAGTACTTAAGGAATCCTGGATAAATAAATATAATTTGCTTGAACTTAGCTATTCATTGAGTTATACTATATCACTCCTCAGGAAAGAGCAGTAATCAGTTAAATAAATAAAACCAGCAGGGAAAGTACTGTCTGTTCTTTGTGAAAATTGATGGGCATTAGCTAGTGTCTAAACTGTATTCATAACACAGGCAAATACTTGTACCTATAATTAAAGGGTCAGAAAAGGAAATGACCTGTTCCTGAGGGTCACAAAGCTGGACATATTTAAAAACTGTTCAGGGAAAAAAAGATGTTAGAAGGTCTAAAAAGAACTATCGATAATACAGCATTTGTATCAGGAAAGAGCTGACAAGATTGACTGTGAATTTTAAAAAGACAAACCAGCTTAATTTTTTTTTTTAAATCAGACATAGTCCCCAAATACTTAGAAAATAATGGGAAACAAACCAGTGTGATTATAAAAGTGTTGTATCAGATATTAATGACTTTAGTTTTATATTTAAATGTGACAGCGTATTTATATACTAAATGTAATCTGTTCCGTCTTACCTCCTTACTTTCTTTCACTTTATAAAATTTATCCAGGAACACACAGATGGAAAACATATTCATTTTCTACCACAAGTGGATACTAGAATAGTCAATACTTGGCAAACATTGCCAGTCTACTGGAATGCAAGGAATGAGATTGCACTTTCCCATTGGTTACTGTACTCACTGAAAGCTTGTGGAATTATGACCCTAAGCAGCAATCACAATATTTTCTGGGGCGGGGGAAGGTTAGAATGTTAATAGAGCACACTTTATTTTTTTTGATTATTGAAGTTTTGCTTAACCAACAGGGTCAAGATATAATCTTAGGTACAGGTATTTCCTGTCAGTTAATAAGTGACTTGGATTCTTCAGCCCCAGGCTGATGATTAAGCAGCAGGAAATTCCTTCTCCCACCAATCCTCCTGACATGCACAGCAAGACATCTGGGTGGGGGTAGTGTCACCCTGGAATGTCAAGATGACTGCTGTGAAGTTAATGGGAATCAAGTGCATCGAATCTGTAAGACTATGCTGGTCTTATGATGAAATTGTTCCGAAGACTTACAGCTGACTAAGACATGGGAGGACGCATTTGATAGGTTCTGGTAATCTTCAGGCTTTAGGATGAGAACCTCAGAGGCAGTGTTTTAGAAAATAGAAGGAATGCATGATCTCACTTATGTGTGGAATCCCAAGAAGTTGAAATCATAGAAATAGAGTAGAATGGTGATTCACAGGGGGTGGAGGGCAGAAGGTGGGTCATGGGGATGAGAGATTATCATCCAAAAACTACAATCCCAGGAGTAATGAGTTTAGAGGATCTATTATGTTACCTAACAGTTGCAGTTGGAAGTGATGTAGTGTATGCTTGAACTTGCTCAAAAAGGACTGACAATGTCACCAACCTCAGTGTTCCTTCCCTGAATGCAAAACACTAAAAGGAAATTGCTAAAGATTCAACGTTTTCTCACTATGAATACCTGACTAAGTATTATGTATTAGCTTGAATTAGCCTCTTTACAATGTATATATCAAAACATTGTAATATGCAACATAAATACAGCAATTTTGTCAATCAAAAATAGTATTAATTAATTAAAATTTTTAAAAAGTGAGATTTACAGGCATAAATTGCTGATGTGTGTTAGCCTCAACAAATGGTCAGTTATATGCTTCATTTTCCTCACTATTTAAAGCAAAAGGAGTGGTCTAAATTGAGATCTTCAAACTTAGATGCCAGTCAGATTCAGAAAGTAAGCCTAAAGAAGAAAAGCAGGGGGGGGGGGGCAGGGGATACACAGGTGTGATGACAGCTGAGGTGAATTCCAAGGCCTCTTCAAAGGAATAACCACAACTTCACTCTAGCTGTGTTATCCATACAAAAATACTAGCCTGGCATTTGTGTTTGCTAAGAAAAATGGATAATTCATATTATGTGAAATCTAATCTTTGAATGTTAGAAACAAAGTCACCCTTGAAGCATAATGTGTTACAAATTCAGGTGAAGAACACACATAAGTCTGTCAGCACCTCCCCAGTCGAAGGGCTTCACTCCTTCCGGAGTGTCTTTTCCACTGCTGTTCAAAATGTGAGTTCCAGCAACTCTTGGGATTCTTTGATAGTTTGGAAGCTCCATAAACTTGCTCATGAACATTGACAGGAAATATTTTAGGATGATGGAACTTAGAGGAATTGACAGCAGATATTTTAAGATTCTGAGTCATGCTATGTCTGTCATTATTAGACAGTTTGGTTCTTTTAGCATAATTGCAGCCACTTACAGTACATAGATCCATGGGCATAGCTGTGTTCCTATAAAACTTTATTTATAAAGCAAGTTGTCTGCCATAAGCCTTCCTACTTTGCCAAGCCCTGGTCTAGCAGATTTTTGCCAAAGTCACATATAAATTCTTTTGAGTAGTGGGCCTCTCTCTTTAACTAAAATTTATGTCATCAACACCTAAGAATCAATGTTATGCCATTTTAAATTGATAACAGAGCCATTTTTGTGGGTGTTTAAGTCAGTCCTATAATAAAACAGGATTTCTATGATTAACTTGTATAATATAAAGAATACTGAATAGAAGTCTACTTCAATATACTTTTTCTTTACATATAATTATTTCTCTAAATAATTTACATTTGGCTATTTCCAATGTTGTTACAGCTAAGTCTCCTCAAAAGCAAACTGGGAAGGAAGAGTATTTGGAATGAACCACTAATGTTTGCTGTAAAATAAAGAGGGATAAAAGTTCAAAGAAAAAAATGATAATTCAAGATTAATCAAAACTTTCCATAAAATAGATGGCTGGATATTTGATCTCTCTGAATAAACACTGTCCTACACAGCATGTGTTTATTTAGGTAATGCAACTGAAATTCTTTTCTAGAATGATAAAGATCAGTATATTATGGTAAGATTTAGGTGAGTAGAAATTACAACTTATTTATTAATTTTTTTATGATTCAAATCTAGTGCCAAGGTTTTTAACTTGTTCAGTCATTGTGACTGAGTTGTTAGTGATAAATGGATATTTTGTGACCTAGGCAACACTTAAAAATGGCAAGCTCACTAAATAAGCATGGCTAGTCATCAAATGCATGCTGTGAATAGCCAAACTGGTAACAGCTTTAAAGCTAAAGAGCTCTTAGTGATGATTCTATAAATGCATATGTCTACATAATTTCTTAATGATGAGCATTTTCACCATTCAGTGATAAAATCATGAAGAATGTTAATTAACTTACCACAGCTCAGGTTGTTCTCAGCTTTCAGAGCCTGGGTTGGGATGCTCCAAAAGTCATTGTGCCAGTCTACCACATTCCCGGACATACTACAGCTGAGGTTGGAGAGGGCTTTCAGATCCATCGTAAAATTCCAAAGTCGAAAGTTATAGATGCTGCCCTTTAGAGAGGTGATTTCATCTCTGTCAGAGCCCAACAGTAAAGTCCCATCCCCAGGTATGACAGTGCTGATGGTGGAATCGCATGGAACTATTTCATAGTTCTTTTTGAAATTTACACCAACAGAGCCCAGAATATTACTCCACACCAGACAGAGCTGCTCAAGGTTTTCTGCGAAGATGTCTTCTTTTTCCTTCACAGGTAATGCACTGCTCAACAAGCATCTTGAGCCAGAAATGGACAGGAAGTAGCCATTGTTGGCCTTTTCAAAACTGAGCCAGTGTGTGAGGGACTCATCTGAGTAGGAAAAAGCTATCCAGTCATCGTCTTCACTGACAACTTTGGAGCCTTCGAAGCAGAGTGTGAATGCACTGAGCTCAGGAATGGAGACACTTTTTGCAACTGATACCTGGTAAGCATCTAATGCCTGAGGTAAAATGACCTTTTGATTCCGTAAGGACACAGCAACTAGGAAAAAGCATAAAGTCATACCATAATTCCAGAATACGAGCTGAGATGCAAAATGTCAAGGGTCCCTCATTTTTTCTTGTAACTGACTTTTACTTACTCTGTAAGCCTTTGTTATCCTCTTCTCCATCTGTCCTCTGTCACCTATCTCTTACCAATGGTCTCACATCAAAAATAACAACAACAGGCAGTGTCACCCAGTTCATCTTTAATTATGATTTTATCTCACAATGAAGTGACAGCCATATTGTTGTTGTTTTTTATCTCTGTGCAAAAACATTAAAAATTAAGAAACAAAATTCCAGAATTAAGAAAGAGCTAGTTCCAGCTCTATCAGAGCTGGTGAATTTGTTTGCATATTATGAATTTTAAAGATATGCTATTTCTTAATTACTTTCTGAGCACAAACTAGCTCCACTTTTAAGTAACAACTGCCTTTTACTCTCTCAAATATTTCCCGGCAAATCTCATCCCCTCAGAATTTCTGTGCTGCCCCCTCCCTTTTCCTTACAAACTAATTTTCTGTTTGTCCTCTAGCAAATGTACTTTAAATGAAACATCTTATACATCCAAAATAAAACAATTTCTAAATAGAGATGTTTAAAACTTCTAGTAGGGCAATATTAGAATTATAGATTTTCATTATTACCAGTGGACTCCCTCCTTAAAAAATGCAGATCTGTGCATTTGACATACTTGGAAGGCAAAGGCAATCAGATCTCTGTGAGTTCAAGACTGACCTGATCTACTTAGCAAGTTCCAGGCCAGTCATACCTACAAATTAAGACCTGAGCTCTAAAACATAAACAAAGAAATGAAAATAGATGTTCTGCAGACAGTCTATAATTCAGCTCTTTTGAAACCAGAGTTTGAATCTAGTAATTCTAGTTTGGTAGTGAGGATTCTCAGAGACTATTAATACATTCTCACCCTTAAATCCTGATCCTGACCATTCACAAAAAAGAGCACAGTTCTGTCCTCTAGCCCTGGTGTTTTCTGCAGCATATGGTAAATGGAAGTAGGATGTTGGCGCTGCCTGTGCTTTACATACCTCTGATGTAGCTGGCATTGAAACCTTTCTTCTGGATACTAAAATCACTTGAGAAAGACACATACATCTCATTCACACTTGAGTTAAATGACAGGCCTTTGGCAGTTGCTCCACAAAATTTTGTCGAGTTGTCTCCTTTACCAAGGGACAATGAGTCATAGATGCAACTGGGAGCTTCCTCAATGTCAAAGTCATTAAACGTTATCTGAATGATGTAGCCGGTAGGAGCTCGGATGATCCACGAGCAAGACTGTGTGTTAGGATAGTCGTTAGGGTAGCATGGAGAAGTAAAGGTCCCAGAAGGCTTGGATAGGACCATCCTGCAGTTGCCACATCCCCATACTGTTGGTCATCAAAGAGAGAAAAAGAGGGGGAGAGAAAGGTTGGGGTTAGATTATGTATAATAAACCAAGACTACTACTTACTGGGGACAGTCAGACAGTAAACATTAAAAAATGAAAATTAAGTGGAAATAAAAGCATCTCAAGGAGAAAAAGAAATGCCAAGATTATTTCAAAATGTAAAGACAAACAGAAAAATTGTAGAGAGCAAAACTTGAGGTCCTGAGAATGCAGTGAAGCATAGAGGAACACTTTCATGCAAGATGAACAGGGGCCCTTTAGGTACCACACATGACAGATGATTTCAAACAGTTTACAAAGATAAGGTCTCTTCAACAGATCTCACAAAAGTTTATTGAGAATTCTAGGAATCTCTGCTTCAGAGAGACACTTAAGATGGGAAGAAAGGGCATAAAACCATACAGATAGAGCTCAATATTATGAACCATGGATATATTTTTTTTTCAAAAAAACATTTTCAGAACATTTTTTGAAAAAAAATATGTTGAATTATTTTTCAAATTGTCATTTTTCTTTTTATTCATACACACTTATGTGATTGTCTCATACATTCAGTAAATATTTATTGAGCATCTATTATATGATAAAAACTGCTCTATACAGAATATATCAAAAAGGAAAACAGTCTTTATATGAAAGGTTAACACTGCATGCTTAGATCTAAAGAAAACAATAGTAAAATATATAGAAACATGGTGTGATAGTTAGTTTTAATTGTCAGCTTGACACAATCCAGAATACCCTGGAAAGAGAATCCCAGTGCAGGACTGTCTAGAACAGGATGTGGGCTTGCATAGAAACTTATCTTATTATGTCAATTGAAGTAGAAAAACCCATCCATTGTGGGTAGCTCCATTCCCTAGAGAGGAGATACTGGACTGTATAAAAGAATGGAGAAGGAAGTCCATGCCTCTCCACTTTGTAACTATGGACACAATGTGACCAATTGTCTCAAGCCCCTGCTACTTCCCTGCAAGGATGGACTATCACCTGGAACTGTGAGCTAAAGGAAATCCATTCTCTCCCAAGTAGTTTTGTTCAGGGTAATTTATCATGGCAACAGCAAACACAACTAACACAAATGGTGATAAAGGTGGGAAGAAGAATAAACTAAGGGAAAGATCTATGGTATGGTAAATGAGATATAGTACAGTTCTCTAAATAGAAATTTCTATTTAAACAAAAATCCTTTTGAAGTTATGGCACATGCATAAACACTCTAGGAGATAAACAATTTGGTCAAAGGATACAGCAAAAATAAGACCCACTGTAAATGAATTTTAGTCTCTGCCATTGAACTATCATATCAGTTCCACAGGCCAAAAAGACTGGGATCAGTCTTTATCCTCCATTGTACTCCATTATAGTCTCAATGCACCAGAAGAACTCACAATCCATGTTAATTGAGTGAATGTATATAAGAGAGTCTTGTTGGATAAACAAGAAAATAATATTATAGCATTGTTAGTAAAAGAACATGGAGAATATTTTTGGCTTTTCTGAACTATGGCCTGGATACCAGATGGAATGAGAAAAAAGTCTCTTGTGTTTCCATTTACAAGTGCTTCTTCAGTTAATCTTCAGGCTTTAAAAATATTTGTATAAATAAGAATAACAATTTTTGTGTGTACAACATTCTAAATAAATAACTAGAAAGCCAACACACAAATCGTCAAATAATAATACTTTAACTGTGCTGTGTAAACCTTTTAAACTCACTGTGCTTCTCTCTCATTTACTGGGTGAAGTAGAATGACTAGGTTAGCTGCCACTAGAGAGTGGCAGTTATTACGCATGTCATTTATTCTTCTTTGACACAGTGATACACTCAAAGGCTGAGATGTGTTAGGCCGCTGAAGTTAGGTTTTTTATTCCCCACGATCAACTTGTGTCACACTGTTTTGTCAACTCTGTTCCAGTCTGTCTAACCTTTTCTCTGTTTTTCCAGAGTTTCCAATACCTTGGATAGGATCGAGGACAGAAGGCAGAAAACAAAGTATTGTTGTCAAGTGTCTGCCAAAGCTTTCTCTTATCTATGCCCAGAGCATCATGTTCCACGTCTGTCTTCATAGCACTACCCCGGGGAGGGTGTTTTACTTCTACTTGTGGGATAATTTGCTGTCTGCCTTCTCCCATCAGTCTGCAAACTCAACGAACAAAGGCTACTTACTGGATATGTTAGCCAGGCTGCTGGAACTATTCCAGGGTGTTCCTGACACATGAGGCGTCAGTAGTCAAATTTGTAGAGACATGAAAGAATAGCTTAAATGAACAGAAATGTGTCTGAATTAAAGAACAACTACACCCAGTGTACAAAAGTCAAATGAATTGTAAGCCTGAAAAACAGGTGAAGAATATGTGGATTGTGGCACGTCCCTGGACAGGGTTTTGGGCTCTTTCTTGTAAGTAATTCATGCATAACCTGAGACTAAGAAGACAGTGGCTCTCAGACAAGTTTAGTTTCTTTTCCTGAATCCTGAGCTCACAAGAGAAAGAAGTCATTCTAGCCTATAATTTATACACAGTAATAGACACCAGAGTTTATTTAAAAAAAAAAAAAAGAAAAAGAGAAGGAAAGAAAAAGTAAAGAAGCTAAGAGAAAAAGGAAAGGACTTAAAAACGAACAAACAAACAAATGACCTACAAAGCTTCATGCTATGTGAGCATGCAGACAGGGGCCGTTGTTTATCTCAGATAAGATACATTTTCATATATCTAAGACCCAAGTAATACACCACACTTCCTGTATCCATGTAACAAAATATTCCTTGAAAGGGGAATGGAGAGTATGAAGAATGAAAATTTGACCTGTAACACTGGCTTCATATCTTGACCTAGCTTTAAAAAATTATTCATGTGGTGTGTGTACTGAGGGGTGGTGGTGTGTGCCATGTGTGCATGCCACAGTATGGCCAAGGAGGATAGAGAACAACTTTCCAGACTTAGGACTCTCCTTCCACTTGTGGGATTTCGGCATTGAACTCAGGTCCTTGGTCTTGCATAACAAGCACTTTTATCCACTGAAACATCCTGTTAGCCTTTGACACAGCTTTGTGCCTCAATTTAACCTGCTTTGCACCAGAGATAATAAAGAACTTGTATCCCTTCTAATATTATTGGGAGGATGAGATGGATTAATACTGTAGCATCCTGGGACTTGTGCACAGTGTGATGTGCTAATATTTAAGTCAAATATTATTTTACTACCATTGCTACAAAACAAAATATGTGTATCAATAATTTCCAAGAGTTAAAATAGCATCCACCTTGGTAGACTCTTTATCCTTCAGGCAGTCATTGGGAAATGAGACAAGTAATACAGCACTAAAGGGAATTAAGATAACTTTAAAGCATTCTTCCATGTGACCAATCTATAGTGGCTACACAGCATCTCCAGATGCTGTGTATAGACATTACTTTAAAAGATGGAATACCACACAAGGAACTTTAGCAATATGTTCATTAAAGTCACAAACTACTTTACTATAAATGGCTTTTGTTGTATATTTTCTCATTCAGGATTATAACAATGGTGGGAGTTATTCCCACCTACATCATGATTGAAATAAGTATCACTCGGCTTTTGTTGTATATTTTCTCACTCAGGATTATGACAATGGTAGAAATTATTCCCACCCACATCATGATTGAAATAAATATCACTAACAGAGATTATGTAACATGTACTCAGGGAGGCAGAGGCAAGCAGATCTCTGTGAGTTTGAGGCCAGCCTATTCTGCAAAGTGAGTCTGGGACAACCAAGGCTGCACAGAAAAAACCTGCTCAACAAAACAAAACAAAACAAAACAAAACAAAAAACATTATGTAACATGCTCAAGCTCAACGTTATAGCTCTTATATGAAGCACAATCAAACTTGAAACCATTTACTTTGAATATGAGCCAAGAGTCTTTCATGGAAAAAAAATGATGGATGCAATGAGAAGATACAGAACAGAGTAGAACATGGTAATAGAAGCAATAGTGGGAAAGTTGGAATAAGCTGTGTCATTGATTAGACTGAGTATGTTTTCAGAAATTCACTTGAAATGTTAGGTAGTCTAGAATATAGTGGTTTTGATTTGACTGTAGGTAGAATTGGCTAAATAATTTCTTAATAGAATACGTCATAGTATAGAAATCAACTAACATTCCTCATGGAGAGCAGCCTTGCCAGGCAACAGAGGAAGAAGATGCAGGCAGTCTTGATAAGACTTGATAGGCTGGGCTCAGATATTAGGGGAGGAAAGCTGCACCTTTCTGAGGACTAGGGTAGAGGAACGGGGGGAGGAAAGAGGGTGGGATTGTAAAGAGATGAGGGAGGAGGCTATGATCAGAAGACAGAATAAATAAATTAAAAATAAGTAAGCAAATAAACAATTAATTAATTAATTTTAAAAAAGAAATTAATTTGTCATGGGAGACCTGCCCTTTTCTAAAGAGAAATAGAGGTCAAGTGGATGAGGGGGAAAGAGGAGAAGGGGAAAGGACTGGAAGAACAAGAGAGAGGGGAAACTGTGGTTGGAATATAAAAAGAAAATAAAAACAAATAAAATATAGTTTGGGGCTGGGGAGAAAGTGGTCAGTGGATAAAGTGCTTGCTATGCAATCATGAGGACCTTAGTTCAATTCCTCAGCATCCATGTAAAATGAGCACAGTGGCATATATCTGTAAATATGTAAGAGTCGGGGGCCTACAGACATGTGGATCATGGGCTGCATTGGTCAGTGAATCTAGCTAAGATGGCAAGATTCAGGTTCAGTGAAAGATGTTACAAGGTGGTGAAGTCAGAGGAAAATTCTGAGCATCAACTTCTGTCCTTACCATATGCACCAGTGAACACCCCTATGTACATATGCACATATGTATACAGTACACACACATATGCATATCCACATATATACATGTACAACCCACACACATGTATCAATAAATTAATTTATTCTCTTATAGAAAAGTCTTTTTAAGTAGATATTAGC